GGACACCGCGACTGCTCGGCACATGAGGCTCTGCACAGAGAGGAGGTGCGGCTGCTGTACCCGCTCTCCCAACCCTCCTGCGGCGCAGGGAAATCACCGGGGGGGGGGGGCGCAAAACGAGGCATGTTTGGAAGCCACCAACATGCTGGTGGGGCAGCTGGGGCCCGAGGCAAGAGAGGGGTGATGTCAGCATATCTGCCACTGCTTGCCAGTCTTGGCTATGGTATTATCATCAAGCTGGCTGCTTTCGGCTGTCAGGCTCAGCGGCCTCCTCTTCCAGACAAGGCGACCCGCTTCTCCCCAGCAGAAAGGAGCAGCCACTAAGCAGCCCCATCTGGGGCGGGGAACTGACAAACTGGCAACTCAGGGTTTTCTTTTAGTTTTTCTTTTGCTTTTTAAAAAAAATAAAAATAAATTCTTTCGAGGCCGAAACGGGGAGCGCCCTTTTCCGCCCCCGTGCACCTGTAAATAACGGGCTTCAGAAATACTATACTGGGAAGAGACTGGGGCATTCTTTCTAGCAGAGCTGGGGGAAGCAGGGCTGCAGCACGGCAATTGGATCCCCGGGGAAGAATTTGTAATTCCCTCCCCCCACCCCCTTGTGTGTGTGTTTCTTTAAGGAATTTTTGTGTGCGAGAGAGATTTCTTCTTTTTTTAAAGTCTACTATCTATTGCTTGCTAATCTACCAAGGTAAACAAGAGGCTTCAAAGAGACTCATTAGCTTGACAATCCACCTTCCAGAGCCCACTGCCCCCCTCTTCCCAGCTCTGGATTTTGTATACATTTAGATGTCGGATTTGGAAGGGGGGGGGAGAGAAAGTGTGTGTAAATAACGTGCTTTTTTTTGGAGAGAGAAAAGTACTTTTTTTTCCAGCGGAAAGCAGGTGTCAGCTTGCAGAAGCTGGAAACAGGCTCACCCCACCCTGCCCATCCTCTGTGCGCGAGGAGCATTCGCACTTGAACCTACCTCATTTGAAGTGTTAGACTTTGCTATTTTCTGTTTTCTAATGTGAGCCCCTCGCTGTGCCACCCTTCTGCTTTTTGAGCCCTCTTCCCTAAGTATGGAGAGCCACAGCTCCCCTGGCAGACATGGGAATGCGTTTCCAGGAGGAGGTGGGAAACTTTTTTATTATCTGGGGTCGTTCCTCTTTTCTCCCCACCAAAAAAACCCTCAAACCAAAAACAGTACCCAGTCACGTGACAACTTTCCAGACTGAATTGCTGAACCAAGCGCTGTCTGCTTTCCCTCCCCAACAACCAAGAAGGGGGCAGGGGACCCCACAAGGCTTTGAATGTGCCAACGTGATGGAGAACGCAAGATCTCCTGGTCCGGCAGATGCCAATCTCAGCACATCTCTCCCGTAGAGCCCAACCCATTTTGCCGACGAGGGAAGGGGGGGAGGAAGAGTGCTTGACGAGAGAGCCGATGGCTAAGGGGGCCCAGCTGTGATATTTGGGGTTGGGGGAAGAGTTGGCCAAACCCGTTGCCCTAGAGACCCCCAGTTCCCAATTGTTTCCCATGATCAACTTGCTGCTCTGAAGACTCTCTTATGTTTGTGTGTGTGCTTGTGTGCGTGAGAGAGAGAGAGATGTTGGCACATTGCAGAGTTTGGGATTATTTATCTATTTATATATATTGTGTATATATTTGAACTAGCATGGGGAGGAATGCTCTGGCTGCCGGGTTTTCCTCGACTGCCGGGTGGGTCTCCACAGGCCACCCCGTTTCCCCTCCACTGGGCAGGAAGGAAATAGAGGGGAGAACGTGTTTATGGACAAAACTTAGGGTGGGAAGGGGAACATGTAAAGAGCCCGTTTTTTATGCTTTCTCTGTGTGTATATAGATGACTATTTTTCCTTTTTCCTTTTTAAAGAAGAAATCAATTTATAACCAGTATCTTGAGAGCCATCTGCCTAGCGCCACCTTCCCCCCCCCCCAGCGTAGGGAGATTCTGTATTAATAGAAGGCAAAATGTGGGCATTATACAGGGGAGACACACACACACACACACACAAAAACCCGGGGGGGAAAGAGAGAAACCCACAGACAGGGTCTCCCTGCTGTTGAAATGACTTTGCAAGACAGCTGTACCCTTGAACCTAAGTTGGTATTGTGGGGAGGGGGTGAGTTGCAGGGTCTTTACTGATAAGGCTCTCTCGACTTAACTTTGTACAGTTGAGGCCTTTTAACGCACAATTGCACCATTTCCCCTCTCCCCCACCCCCCAAAAAACACTATAACACACCTCTCTCTCTCTCCAAATGCCTGTAAGAGTGGCATTGCGTGATTAACCGAGGCCACATCTCATATTCTCTCGCCTGATCCAACAGACAAGGCAGAGAGAGAACGTGGCTATAAGACTTAACTTTCATAGCGGGGGCAAGGTGGGGCACGTAAAATCAGGGTTTGTGTGTAAGAATATCTTTTTTTGAACTTGTTGGCAAGGTGAGAACCATGTTCTTGAGTGAAAAAGCTGCTTCTGCTAACCGTTCAAAGCTATGACGGTTAAAAACAGTGGGGGGCTGGGGTAGGGAAATTTCAAATATTAAAAGTAGTAATTAAAATTGTATATAAGATGGCATTTGTGTAGAGAAGGGGGGGTTTATCAGTAACAAAACCACTGGACATTGTTTGAAAATAAAGGTTTGAGTTAAAGCCAGTATACATTTTTTTTGTCTCTTCGGATTTGTTTTGTGTGTCATTTCCATTAATTTGGAAGGCTGTAAAGATGTAAAAAAAAATAAATTTTAAAAATTGCTACAAAGGTTTAAAAGCTTGAGAGAGATTTTAAAAAAATGATAAAGTGACTGAATATAATAGATTGTCAAGATTTTTTTGGATGACGGTTAAGAGTTTAAGATAATCCTGTAGATTTTAGCTGATGAAGAAAGACTATACAGTTTTTAATTTTTATATAAACTATAACCCGGTCTTGAAGCTAAAACTTTTTTAAAGTTCTCTGCCTGTATAATCGCATTTGACGCCTTGTCCCATACTTCTGTTTACAGTTGCACATATTATATATATTAAGTTTTAACCCTTTTATGAACCCAAAATAATCACTTTTTTAAAAAATAAAGTGTGGACTTTGTGAGGAATTATATTTTGTGTTTTGGGGTTTCATTACTTTGTGTGCGTGATTTCTGTGTAGCAAAGTTGTCCGTGATGAGAACAAAGGGTTGAAAACAAAACATAAATACTCCTTTTAAAAAATAAATAAAAGCAAACACGAAAGCACCCTTGTACGTGGCATGTTTTCTACCAGGTGGTAGCTTTGAAATGTTTCCAATTTACCTTCAAAGTTGCAAAAGAACTGGCTCCCACTTTTGCTTCTCTCTAAGGTTTTTTAAAGGAAGAAATAAAACCCTAAAATGCATTTAAAGTAATTGGGTCTTGGTTTAAATTTGACTGTGCTTGTATGTGATGGAGTGACAGTCTCATGTCAGTCAGTTGACAGAATGTACCAAGTCCACATTCTCAGATGGGTAAGAGATCTCGGTGAGTCCAACTATAAGAGTCCTTCTACACACGTGATATCTAAGCTTTGCAGCTTCTGTGTGTACCTGTGTCCCCTCTCCCCATGCTTTTCTGTTCTGCCATTAATCTTGTGACCACAGGTGTGGCTCAGGGTATTTTGGGGAGTGGGAACCATCTTAAAAGCAAGTTTTGTTAATGCGTTATTGATATTGCCTATCCTCCAAAATCCTGCCTATGTTTGACCTCCTGAAACTAAAACCATTACCTGGGCCTCTGGCTGTAGGATATATGGAAACATGTAAACCTTTGGCGTTACTCAAAACTAAACTAGGGCTCATTTGACTATGAGGAAGGTGTGTGTGTGTATAAAGAATTAGCATTGCTGCAACTATATGGTGTGCATACTCCAGCTGCAGCCTTCTGGGTAGCAGAAAATAGGCAGCTTGGTGCAGTTTCACCAGCCACACAATACTCCCCATTCTTCACAAGAAAAATCTAGCAAGACAGAGCCATTAATGCAATGATTTTGTCGTCACTTGGAAGGAAATCTATAGTCCACCCCAGGGGTTAGCAACCTTTTGCAGCCATGGGCCGGTCCACCGTCCCTCGGACCATGTGGTGGGCCAGACTATATTTTTTGGGGGGGGGGAATGAACAAATTCCTATGCCCCACAAATAACCCAGAGATGCATTTTAAATAAAAGGGCACTCATGTAAAAACACGCCAATTCCCGGACCATCCGTGGGCTGGATTGAGAAGGCGATTGGGCCGCATCTGGCCCCCGGTCCTTAGGTTGCCTATCCCTGGTCCATCCCAGTACAGTGGTACCTCGGGTTAAGCACTTAATTCGTTCCGGAGGTCCGCTCTTAACCTGAAACAGTTATTAACCTGAAGCACCACTTTAGCTAATGGGGCCTCCTGCTGCTGCCGTGCCGCCGGAGCACGATTTCTGTTCTCATCCTGAGTTAAAATTCTTAACCCAAGGTACTATTTCTGGGTTAGCGGAGTCTGTAACCTGAAGCGTATGTAACCCGAGGTACCACTGTACTAGCATCTGTCCACTGCTGGGGGAAGAATGTTTTTAGAAATTAAATGCAAGTTGTTAACAGGCCCCCTTTTCAGATGTTAACATTCACTACCGTGTACCGTGTACATCAAGTTGTCTTGGTTGGGTTCAACCCCTTGTTGAATGCAACAATACTGTGCCAGCGACTCAACAGCTCCCTGAGTGGGGGGGGGGCAGTCATAAAAGGAAAATTTGGCAAGGCTAAAAGACAGGCTTTCTGTATTTGAAATCCACATTGCCTGGATTGTTGCCTATCTGGACCACCCTCGTTTGAGAACGGGGAGCGTTTAACTCTGTGGTTCCGATCAACCACAGTATTTTTGCGTTCAAACAGAAAGGTCGGTCTCCCCCAGCCCTGGAGGCACGCTGGGAAAACAGATGGCGCTGGAGGCCTGCACTGTGCTATGCAGGCATCCAGCCTCTCCAGTAAGAGATTAGGTGGACAGAAGCAGAATGGAACATTGACAAAAGCTGTATTTTTAATTGACTGCTGCACCACTAGCACGGTCTTGCATTTCTCCTTTATAACCAGAAGGATTAGAAACCGCTTTTGAAAACAGAAGCCAGGTTATGTGGTGGACTCAAGGATTTACACTTGAGTGGTAATGAACCAAAAAAAGCGAACCATGGAGCAGAATCATGAACTACAGTCATCGCAGCATGACAGTTCACTTCTTTCGTAAGAGTTCCCCGGGCCCTCCCACCCTGAAAACAACAACCCCATAAACACTTTGGTGTGACAGAATTCTATAAAAACAGAAAAGGTTTACACAGAACAGCTGTATCTCCCAGAAGCTCATCTCAGGCACCGATTACAAGCAGCTCAAGTAGAAGTCTTGCAGGGGACGTCCTGGAGATTTCATGCCCTCCTAAGGATTCAGTCTTTTCCACCAGAAGAGGTGCCGGTCTAATTATAGACTAGCCGCATGGAGAGTGGGTTCTATCCCGTAGCAAGAAGCAAAACTCAATACTGCTTAGCTCTGTGGACAGCTGACGCTCTCCCTGCTAGCCCACCCCACAAGTTAATGCGTGGTTCTCTAGAGCTTCAGATGATGTGACTGCAGCATTGCCATCAGGATTTTGCAGTTAAGAGCTGTTTCTTTCGGGAAGAGTCAATATTCCAACTGCTTTCAGTACTTGTTGATACCAAAGATGCGCACGCCATGGAACAGGGGTAGTTTGGGCAAGAGGACGCTCAGCAAGGAGCTAGTGTTGATTATGAAGTGCACAGGGTCATATTTGGTATAAAAGCTGGTCAAGATGTAGCTAAAGGGAAATAAACATGCTGTTTTTAGCTGCATGAAAAGAGTTAAAGCTTTGCTGCTTAAGTAAAAGACAAAGCAGTGCAAACGAAGCCATTCCTGGTACTTACAGGACAATTGGTGAGATGCTTAGGAATTTGCGAGAGGACGTCCACTGTGTGCCATAGTCAATCTGCTCCCAGTGTGTGAGGAGGCGATCCTTGCCCTGGTCTGGTGTTTCAAAGGGGGTCCCTTTCACTGTGTGTAGGAGCCAATACATTGCCTGGTGGGGGGCGGGGTGGAAAATAAGTGAATTAAGATTGTGGCCTTTCTTCTCTCTCCCTAGGACAGCAGGAAAGAGGACATCAGCTCAGATTCTTGTGCAGCTCAGATTAAAAGGAATAGTTGAGGAATTTCCATACAGTGGTACCTTGGTTTAAGAACAGCTTAGTTTATGAACAACTCGGATTAAGAATGCTGCAAACCCAGAAGTAGGTGTTTTGGTTTGTCAACTTTGCCTTGGAAGCAGAACATGTTTTGCTTCCTGTTGAGTGTGTTCCATTTGTAAATTGAGTCCCCAGTTGCTATGGGAAAGCACACCTTGGTTTAAGAACGCTTTGGTTTAAGAACAGACCTCTGGAACGGATTAAGTTCATAAACCAAGGTACCACTGTATTGGTATTGGTCCAAACATAAGCTGCATCCTTAAAATGAGATCACTTCAATGATGCAAGAGCACAATAACAGGTCACACTCCGAGTTTTATACAAGCCAGCTTTGGAGGGCGAAAGCGAGGCCTATATTCAGGCTTATATGGAAGAAGGTTTGACATACAATGACGACAAGTTTTACTGCATAGATATCCCATGATCTGTGATAACAATCAAGACTTCTCTGCTTGTGGAAAAGAGAAATGGCGCTTACAATCCTTAGGATGTGTATAGCAGGGATAGGGAATATTTTTTCAGCCTGAAGGCTGTCAGGGACTGTGTTGCAGGGGTGTGGGGAGAACAACACACAAAGCGGGCAGGGAAGCCATGGTTGTAATTACCTTTGTACAACAGGCTAGTTTCTACACACACACATTCATTTCTTGCCCCCATCCAAGCAAGCAAGGGTCCCTATTGGAATACAAAGACACATTCCACCCAGGCAATAACAGTCAAGGATGGTGTGAAGCAGAGTCACTGAAGGGTGTGTCTGGGAAGGGGGTATAACCCAAAGAGTCCCCAGAGCAAGCCTATGAGAGTTTGAGGTCCACCACCACCAACCCAGAGAATGCATTAAAGGCTCAGGTGCAAAAAAATAGCCTTAAAGAACTTAAGTTCACAAGCTGATTAAAAGTTATAACCTACCAAGTTATGGATGACATTGGTCAGGGTCCAAACCACAGGAACGCTGAAGAAGGGGATGCTGAGAAGAATGATGTGGAGGAGAACCACCGAGATGCTATAAGCCAGCCAAATGCCTTTGCTGTTCATCACTCGGGTGTTGGGGTTCACCTCACTGTGGGCCACGCCGACATTCATGCTGAAGAGGAAAAACAATATGCTGGATGCAGAGATACTGTACAGTGGTACCTCTGGTTACATACACTTCAGGTTACAGACTCTGCTAACCCAGAAATAGTACCTCGGGTTAAGAACTTTGCTTCAGGATGAGAACAGAAATTGTGCTCCGGCAGCGTGGCGGCAGCAGGAGGCCCCATTAGCTAAAGTGGTGCTTCAGGTTAAGAACAGTTTCAGGTTAAGAACGGACCTCCGGAACGAATTAAGTATATAACCAGAGGTACCACTATACATTATATATTATTTCATTTGATCTGTAAAATAGAAAATGCAGAAATACACACACAGAGAGTTGTTTCACGTACCACATTGCCATCAACTACAAAAAAGTGTTTCTTTCAAGCCTAATTTTGGGGAGCCGGAGAGAAAAGAAGCTAAGGAAAGCCTCTTTGGGCACTTGCGAGCCCACAGGTGCCACACTGGCAGCCATGGTGTAAAACAGTAGGGCATTTTATGCTTATTCCTATTTCCTGCTTCTTCCGTTTTTTAGCAGCCGAGGAAACTGCCTCATTAGTCCTGTGGCGGAGTGCTTGCTGGGCAAGGCAAGAAGGTCCCTGGTCCTGCCCCAGACACCTCCAAAAATGGCCCCACCCTTGTCTGGATCCTTGACTACCATAGCCTCGGCCCTGTATACCTGAAGGAGCATCTTCACACACATCCATCATTCAGCCCAGACAAGGAGGTCCACCTCTGAGGAGCTCCTGGCAGTTCCCTCACTGCGAGAAGCAAGGTTACAGGGAACCAACAAGAGGGCCTTCTAGGGAGTGGCACCCCAGCTCCTGCCAACCTAGCAGTTCAAAAACATGCCAGTGCAAGTAAATACAGTGGTGCCTCGCAAGACGAAATTAATTCGTTCCGCGAGTTTTTTCGTCTAGCGAATTTTTCGTCTTGTGAAGCACGGTGTCGGAAAAGTTTTGGAAAAGCTTCAAAAATCACCAAAAACCTCAAAAAAGGCTACCACACTGCGTTCTATGAGTTGCTCCTCAAAGTCAAGTCGCAACTGTATTAACGGTGTTAAGAAAAAGGAAACAAACTTGCAAGACGTTTTCGTCTTGCGAAGCAAGCCCATAGGGAAATTCGTCTTGCAAAGCAGCTCAAAAACCGCAAAACCCTTTCGTCTAGCGAGTTTTTCGTCTTGCGAGGCATTCGTCTTGTGGGGCACCACTGTAAATAGGTTTCACTGCAGTGGGAAGATAAACGGCATTTTTGTGCGCTCTGCCTTTTGTGACGGTGTTCCGTTGCATCAGAAGTGGTTTAGTCATGCTGGCCACATGACCTGAAAAGCTGTGTGCCGGCTCCCTGGGCCTGAAAAGCGAGATGAGCGCTGCAACCCCTTAGTCGCCTTTGACTGGACTTAACCTTCCAGGCGTCCTTTACTTTTTTACCTTCCTACGGAAGGCCCTCTAATTCACTATACAGTGGTACCTCGGGTTAAGTACTTAAGTCATTCCGGAGGTTTGTTCTTAACCTGAAGCACCACTTTAGCTAATGGGGCCTCCCGCTGCCGCTACACGATTTCTGTTCTCATCCTGAAGCAAAGTTCTTAACCTGAGGTACTATTTCTGGGTTAGCAGAGTCTGTAACCTGAAGCGTATGTAACCCGAGATACCACTGTACAACCTTTAGAAGACATCTGTATGAGGAAGTTCTTAATGTTTGATGTTTTATTATGTTTCTGTATATGCTGGACCAGAGTGGCTGGGGCGACTCAGTCAGATGGGCTGGGTACAAATAAATAAAATAAAATAATAATAATAATAATTAGTGCAGAGCCGACACTAAGCTCACGTGGGCCGGTGCTCCGACTCAGGACAAGGCGGCTCCCTGCGAAGCCCCCGTTTATCACCAGGAAGGCCACCCAGGACCCACGACCCACAACGGAGACCTATAGGAGACCTACGCGGCTGGTTCCGGGGCGGCGGCGTCTCTTCTTAGCGAGGGAGCGACAAGGCGAGGAACCCGAAAGCGGCGCTTCTTCCTGCTTCTGCTTCCGCAGGCAGGCGGTCTCCAGGAAACGATTCCTCGTCCCCGCCCCCACCGCCAACCAGCCAATCGGGCAGGCGCTCCGGCCCCTCCCCATTGGCTATTCCCTGCCGCCGCTCTTCGCCTCTCTGCCCGTTTCCCGGTTAAAAAAAAAAACACGAGCCAATGAGCGAGGCGGATGTTAGGGAAGCGTCAAAGTTCATGGGAAAGCGAGGTCCGGATTGGGCGGCAGGGCCTGAGCGGGCACGCACGGTTTGCCGTCGGGGCGCGAGGGAGGAGGTCGCTGAGGGAGGGGAAAAGCGAAGGGAAGATGGCGGCGGAAACAGTGGAGCTGCACAAGTTGAAGGTACTGAGGCCGGGTCTGAGCGGGTGGGGCGGACTCCTCATACTCTGAGGGAACAGCGCTGGGCCTCCTCCTCCTTCTCCCTCGCCTCACTCCAGGCTGGCGGCGGCGGCAACACTGAGGGAAAAATCCTGAGGGAGCTGCCTTTACCCCCTCAGGCTCCGTGTGGGGTTTTGCGCCGTCAGACCACCCGGGCCGCCGAGTTCTCGCGAGGGCGGGAAAAGAGTCACGGCGGATCCCGTCGCGCCGCGCTCCCCTCTGAGGCCGGCTGGACCTGCGGACATCGCGCCCACCGGCAGGAAGGGGCAGCGCTCTCCTCGCCCACGGTGGTTGGCGGTAGCTGCGTAGCCCGAGCTGAACGCCCTGGTGGATCTGGCGAGGGGATCTGTCTAGCCCACCATCCCGTTCTCACACAACTACCAGCCAAGATGCCTGTGGGATATAGGAGCGCGAGAGAAAACTCTCCCCTCCCGTGGTTTCCAGCAATGGTAGTCGGAAGCATTGGTGCCTCAAACTGTGGAGCAAAGTAGCAAACACTTCGGCCCCCCCCCCAATATTTTTTTTGAGAGGGCCTGGAGGGATAGATACAGTGGTACCTCGGGTTAAGTACTTAATTCGTTCCGGAGGTCCGTTCTTAACCTGAAACTGTTCTTAACCTGAAGCACCACTTTAGCTAATGGGGCCTCCCGCTGCTGCTGCGCCGCTGGAGCACAATTTCTGTTCTCATCCTGAAGCAAAGTTCTTAACCTGAAGCACTATTTCTGGGTTAGTGGAGTCTGTAACCTGAAGCATATGTAACCCAAGGTACCACTGTATATGCATATACATATACAATACACATATACGTATAGATAGATACACACACACACACATATATACATACATAAATTTATAGACATATATTTATATATACACAAACATATATATACATATATATATATATATATATATATACACACACATACGGGACATGGGTGGCGTTGTGGTCTAAACCACTGAGCCTTGGGCTTGCCGATCAAAAGGTTGGCAGTCCGATTTCCCCGACAGGGTTAGCTCCCGTTCCTCGGTCCCAGCTCCTCCCAACCTAGCAGTTCAAAAGCACTCCAAAAAGTGCAAGTAGATAAATAGGTACTGCTCCAGCGGGTAATGGCGTTTCCGTGCGCTTTGGCTTCCATCACGGTGTCCCGTTGCACCAGAAGCGGCTTAGTCATGCAGGCCAGAAAATCTGTCAGCGGAGTGGACGAACGCTGGCTCCCTCGGCCTGTAAAGCGAGATGAGCACCACAACCCAGAGTCATTCGCAACTGGACTTAACTGTCAGGGGTACCTTTACCTTTTACCTCGGTTTTTGAATATCTCCATTGATGAACATTCAGTTTTCGAATGCCATAAACCCAGAAGTAAATGCTTCAGTTTTTGAACACGCCTCAGAAGTTGAACATGCCATGCGGCTTCCGCTGAGTGCAAGATCCTGAGGTCTAGCTATTGGCTATTGAGTTTTCAGTTATCGAATGTTTCAGAACTCAAACAGCTGGGGACCTGGGTGTCCAAGCACCCACAAATTCCCCATGAAGGGGGCTGGGCACCCTCAAATTTTGCTGCTAGGGCCATGCACGCTGCATGGCACCCACAGTCACAGGACCAAACTGGCGCTCCTGATGGGCATTCCCATTCACATGGCGCGGGTGAGCCCCATTATCATTGATTATGCGGGACTTACTTGCCCCGCCCCCAAATATTTCATTCAAGTTGGCACCTCTGCTGTGGAGGTAGAGCATATCTATAATGGCTAGTAGCCATTGATAGTCGTCTCCTCCCCGGATTTGTGTAATCTTTCGGTAAAAGTTGGAAGCATATCATTGTTGATTTACTTCAGTTAGTAAGTCATTTGGAATGAATAGTTCTCAAAGTGGCTGATAGCTAATTCTTAACAATTCAGTACAAAGCAGTGCTCTCTCATTTTAGTAGTGGAGGATGTTATGTTAACCTAGTAAACCATTGAGCCTCTTGGGCTTGCCAGTTGGGAGGTTGGCGGTTCAAATCTCCACGACGGAGTGAGTTTCTGTTGCTCTGTCCCAGCTCCTGCCAGCCTAGCAGTTTGAAGGCACATGAGTGCAAGTAGATAAACAGATACCACTGCGGCAGGCAGGTAAACTGCATTTCCGTGCACTCTGGCTTCTGTCACGGTGTTCTGTTGCACCAGAATCAGTTTATGCATGCTGGCCACATGACGCAGAAAGCTGTTTGTGGACAAATGCAGATTCCCTCAGCCTGAAAGCAAGATGAGCACCGCAACCCCATAGTCACCATTGACTAGACTTAACCTCCCAGGGGTCCTTTACCTTACCTGCCTTCCATAGGTTATTGGACGACAGCTCCTCTGTCATCCCTGACCAGTAGCCATTGTTGCTGGGGCTAATGGAAGTTGTAACCCAGCAACATTTGAAGGGGTACCAGGCAAGGGACTATGTTAACTCCTCTTCCCCAGTTCTCTGGTGGCGAGTCTAGCAGGAAATGGCCCTGCCACAATAGCACTCAAAATAAGAAACAGGAGGGAGGTATTTGTATAAAAATGTGTGTTCCTGTGAAATTACGTAATGAAAATTGAATGTGTTTGAGTGGAAGCCTCAACCTGGACCAGTAGAACACTTTATTTTACAAATGATCTTTTAAAAGCCTATTTATTCTCTTGTCCTTTGGTTACTCAATGAAGCATGAGCCTCTCTAGGATTAAGGCTGCAAACCTTTGCCCACTTATATAGGAATCAGTGCAACCTGAATATAGTGGAACTTGCTTTGATAAATCTACTTTATACAATTCAGTCCTATTTCCTTCTCAGTTTGCATGCTGAACTTTCTGTCATTGCTGCCCCTGGTTCTGGGCAACCAGTATTGCCCTCCCATTTTCCAGGTGGATGCTTCCTGCCACAAAATGCTTGTGTAAAGTTGCAGAGATAAATGTGGGGAACCAGGAATTTCACAGTATGAAATAAATGTTTCCCCTTGTATGCTTGTTATTATTCATTCAAAGCATCCCCACCTCAGCAAGAAAAGTTTCCAGGGCAGCTTATATAAGATCATGCTTATATACTTAATAAATTATTGAAGCAATCTGAAAACCTTGTGGGCCCCTTGGTAGGCCCTTATGAGCACCATGACTCCTGGTGATGGCAGCTGTAGTGTGGAAGGTAGGCACACAGCCCAAGAGGATGTAATAACAGAGTAAAACTACAAATTTATAGAAAATGTAGTGTAGCAGCATAGAATTGTGATGGCTGTCACCAGTAGTGTTACTCTTGCACAAAGCTGGAGCAGTCGGAGGTGCAGTGGGTAACTTAGTGAGATCTCATTTTCCCAGGAAGTAGTCTCATGAATAAAGTTCTAAGGTGTTTAGGCCAGTGAAAGGCCTAAACTTCATAAGTCAACTTTATTAACTATTGTGAGACTGAGAGTCTTCTATTTTTGGTCTTGTTTTTACTGCAGATTCCTACAGACTTTCTTTACAAATGTTATAAAATGAGTGTTGAAAAAAATCTAAATAAACCCTGTGTCCTTATTAAAATACACAGCCGTAGCTTGTTCAAAACCTTTCACCACTTAATATCTATCCATTATGATTATTGCATTTTTGTACATGTTTCCTTCCTAATCTGTAGGAAGCCACACTTTCTTTATTAAGGCAAAGTCTCTTCTACTTTACAGCTAGCTGAGCTGAAGCAGGAATGTTTAGCCCGAGGTCTGGAGGCAAAAGGAAACAAACAGGATCTCATCAATAGACTTCAGGCCTATCTTGAGCAGCATGGTAGGTTCCTACACTGCATTCTTTCTACACTCTACCAAGATCCTTCTAACAAGATAGAGCAGAGTCCAGCAGAGGTTACCTTAAATATTTAATCAAATGTGTTGCTTTTTGGATGTTCATTGTGAAACTGTTTACAGTCTTTCTGTACAAGAGTCAAAGGTTCCCTGTTTGACTTCAGTTTATTAATTGCTCTTCATATAAAGTTCTGAAATGATTGATCAAGACATAGGCCACTTTCTAATGTCATGCTAAACCATGGTTTAATGTTAAGTGAACAAGCTCAAGTGCTCGCCTCTCTGTTTCTGGCATGGCCAAGAGGAGGAGTTGGAAGCTTTTGCTTACATTTTTCATCAATTGCATTTTTGCATTTTGTTCAATCTCATGGATGCGTTTTTGGCAGGACCCTCACAATTCCCTTCAGAATCTTTGCCAGTGACAGATACAAGAAAAGAAACATGAGCTGGCGTGGTGTAGTGGTTAAGAGCAGTAGACTCGTAATCTGGGGAACCGGGTTCACGTCTCCGCTCCTCCACATGCAGCTGCTGGGTGACCTTGGGCTAGTCACACTTCTTTGAAGTCTCTCAGCCCCACTCACCTCACAGAGTGTTTGTTGTGGGGGAGGAAGGGAAAGGAGAATGTTAGCCGCTTTGAGACTCCTTCGGGTAGTGATAAAGCGGGATATCAAATCCAAACTCTTCTTCTTCTTCTCTCTAGTACCAGCAGTGGTCAGGATAAATGTTTCTAGAACTAAGAGAGACAGATTCAAACCCCCCACCCCAACTATGTGTTCACAGGTTTTATTTTCAGTAAAAGGCACAACTGACATGGATAAATACTCACACTGTTGAAGACACTGTTTTAGAACAGAAACCTTTTGGGATGCAAGGATAAAGTGCATGTCTGCAAAGGAAGCAACTGCTGATATAAGATGCTTTATCATGGTGGTCAATAACATTGCATTGAAAGCAGAAAAGGGGGATTTGAATTCTGCTTCAGGCAGATACTGGAATCCACTCTAGCCCAAAGTACACTACAGCTGTTGTATGCCACACAGGTCTACACACTAATTTCCTGGTGGCCTGGGCAGCACGGCCACAATGCTGGGCTTGTGACCGTCTACTAGTCCAGGTAGGAAACTTCTGTGATTCATGTCAGAGCTCAACCTCCTGGCTCCTCAGTCTTGTTTCCTGCCAAGCTCAGCAGATGTCCTCTGTCCTCTTAGACCTTAACATTTTTCTTGGCTTTTTTTTCTTTTTTCCAGCATTCGGACCCACAAATTACCCTATTGGTGTCTTTTCATCCAACATCAATGAGTGATGAGGCCCAATCATACACCATAGCTAAACAGCTTAAGGCCTTCTCAGATTCAGCATCTTCCAGCTCCTAGGCAAGTGATGGCCCACTCAACTAGAGCTACAGCCACCATAGTGGTCTGGCAACTAATGTCAGCATTAGAGGGCAGTCCCCTCTGCTGTTACCAGACATTATAAAGGGGATACTTGCACTTCTGCAGAAACAGCCCTTTGGAAGGTGTGTCCTTCAGATAATAGCTAGACCATAGGGAGTGGATTCAATATCTGCTCAAAGGAACATAGGCTCTGGTAGGTCCCAGCATAGTAGCATTGTAGTCCAGGCTGCCAGGAAAATGTAACTTTGGTCACTTACTATGATATGGGCCTTTTCTGGCAACAGGGTTCACCCTATATGCAGCTGCTCTCTCAAGAGGTGGTCATATAAATTGTTATCAGAGCAGTTTAGTTACTATGCTTGTTACTATTAATATTAATATACATAATGCCAACTATGTTCAGTACACTGTACACAATTAAATTAAGAAATTCTACCCTGAAGTTGTACAGTCTAGAACAACAATTATAAACAATACAACAAGAATCAGTAGTTTAGAACACACAGTTCACAAGCCATTAAAATTGAGGTTCTTTCCAGTGACATTGTTAGGTTTTTCAGTTGTGTTGCAGATCCTACAGTTTCTAGAGCTTAACCAGAAGGGAAAACTGAGGAGCTAGGAGGAGCACTGAAACAAATCATTTGTTTCTTGCCTGGGCTGGCAGAGGAACACAAACCTAGAATAGTGACTATGTAACCCTGCTTCTAGAAAAGACCTGTATCATAGTAAGTCACTAACATTACATTTGATACCCCAAAATCATTTGAAAAAGTAGAGAGGCAATGGAAAAAGCTATCCTGGCAACAGAAAATTAGAACCCCGATGTCACTTTTTCTTAGCAACCAGAGACATCAAAGTTTTCAGAGGCAGCAAGTTGTTTCCAGAAAATGGAAGTCAGCAAAATGAAAACAAAAAGGAATTTAAATTTGCACATATTACAATCACAAAAACGCAAGTATAATATAACAGATCCAAGAAAATAATTTGAGGAACATATTACTGAAAATATTAAAGCCAGCAATTAAAAACAGGAGACTAGTTAGGAAGACAGTTGGATCACTAGAGGACCAAGGAATTAAAGTTTTATTAAAGGATAAGGTGGCTGCTGAAAAACTGACAAATTATGTAGCTGATGAAGATGTAGAACAGGGGCCCAAGCCTAACATGACCCACTGAATTTGTATTCCATAGGTAAAACCATGTTCAAGATAGCTTACAGCATGAAAACTTACATAATTACAAACATAACAAAAGTAGTCAAATAAAACACATCAAAAAGTTCACAACCACAATTGCACAATTTCCACATAAATCATTATAAGATCTAAAAATTAAAATACAAAAAATTAATATTAACAACAGCAACAACAAAAACCCAGCAACTCACCCCACCCTGCCAAACAATACCCCCCCCCCCCCAGAAATCCATTCAGAAGCCTCAGCTTTTGTAGCTGTAGTTGGTCAGGACCCTGCCGTCCCAAGCCAGGTGGAAAAGACTAACAAGGCAGGGAGCAGGTCTTCCAGGACTCACAGCCAAGATGTTTGAAGTCTTTTAAAATCACCCTCTAAATAAGAGAACTGAAAAACATTGAAAGTAACCACCATTTTTTTTTTAAAAAAAAAGCCATTTCAGAGTGGTTAACTTAAATGTTTGTTCTGATAAATTGGTGGGAAGTGTTCGAAGACAGAGGTCCCCTAGCTGGGCCGGGACGATATGGGATTGGGGGGCCAACTCCCATCTCTTGTGGGGGCGCAATTAGTGTCAGTGCCTTCTGTCAAGAGTTTGGGTGTAATCCTCGATGCCTCCCTTTGCAGGTGCAGGTTGCAGCTACAACAAAGGCAGCATTTTTCCATCACCGTGCTAAGCAGTTGGTCCTTTACCTCTCTAGCCCTGATCTCGCCACTGTGATGCATGTGACGGTCACCTCCAGGCTTCATTGTTGTAACTCACTCTATGTGGGGCTGCCCTTTAAACTGACCCAGAAACTCCAGCGGGTGCAGAATGCCGCGGCGCGACTCCTTACGAGGTCTTCGCTGCGGGATCACATTCATCCAGTGCTATACCAGCGGCACTGGCTCCCGGTGGAGTACAGGATCAGGTTTAAGGTGCTGGTTTTAACCTTTAAAGCCCTATACGGCCTAGGACCCTCGTAACTACGGGACCACCTCTCCTGGTACGCCCCACGGAGGACCTTATGGTCTGCAAATAATAACACCTTGGGGATCCCGGACCTCAGAGAGATTAGGCTGGCCTCAATCATGGCCTTTTCGGCCTTGGCTCCGGCCTGGTAGAACGCTCTGCCACAAGAAATCAGGGCCTGCAAGACCAAGTTGTTCCGCCAGGCCTTTGGTCAGGGCTCAGCCTGACTCTCCTTTTCTTTTTGAATATGTATAAGAACGAATATTTGTATAAGAACGAATATTCCATTCTAGGAATAGTTATGAAAGGGATAAAAAAAAAGTATTCATGCAAATCTGTGGTGGAGGCACACAGGTATGGTCTCCACTTCTCAAAAAAAATATTGTAGAACTAGAGGAGTAGTAGAAAAGGACAATGAAAATTATCAGGGAGCTGGTGTAACTCCCCTATGTGGAAAGGCTATAATGTTCGGGGCTATTTCGTTTAGAATAATGAGTAAGGGGAGAGAAGGCAGAGGGATATAAAATTATGTATGGTGTAAAGCAGGGGTGGCCAACTCCCAAGAGACTGCAATCTACTCACAGAGTTATAAACTGGCAGTGGGGGGTTCAGGTCAAAGCTTTTTTTAGGAAGGAAAGCCCTGTTTTTTGGGGGGTGCAGGGCAAAAATGTCGAGCCAGTGATCACAATCTACCTGTTGAACGTGTCTTGTGTAAAGAAATTAGATGGATAAAAACTTTTATCCCTCGATACATTACAATCTGAATTGTAGAGTTGGGACCTCAAATGTCATCTAGTCCAACCCTCACAATGCAGGAATTTCTGCTAGATCATACATGACATATCCTTTCCACATGTACTAGAATCATAAAAGCATAGACTTGTAGAGTTGGAATGCACCATGAGGGTCATATAGTCCAACCCCTTGCAATGCAGGAGTCTTTTGCCCAACATGGGGCTCGAACCCACAACTGGCTGAGCTATCCCAGCAAAACTATTGGCAATCCAGCTATCCCCCATCTTATATTTATACAGCTGGGTATTCCTGCCTAAGTGTAGAAATTTACATTTGTCCCTATTGAAATTACTTTGGTTAGTTTTGGCCCAGTTCTGCAATCTGTTAAGGTCATCTTGAATCTTGATTCTGTCTTCAGTGGCATTGGCTACCCCTCCCAGTTTGGTGTCTTCTTCAAATTTGATGAGCATCCCCTCAAAACTTTCATCCAGGTCGTTTAGAAATACGTTGAACAACAACATCCAATGAGGGTGAATGGTGGGAAATTCAAGACAAAAGTAAATACACCTTTGCAAATGCCAGCACATTTTCAGTTCATGACATGCCTGGTGTCCTGCCTCCATCCCTTTCCTCCACACTCTCAGCTACATAATACCTCTAGTCAGTGCTTTTATTCTGGGTGGACGCAGGGGGACACGTACCCCTAAACGTTTTGTGAATCTAAGTTTGGCCTCATTGAGGGGCAGTATTTCAATATGAGTAGGAAAATGAGAGTACCCCTAAACATTTTTTTAGAAAAAAGTGCTGCCTCTAGTGCTATATGATGCTTTATAGCAGGCATGTCCAACTCTCAAGAGACTGTGATCTACTCCCAGTATAAAAAAACTGGCAGTGATCTACCCATTGTCATTGGAGGGAGGAGGAGCGTGTGTGGGGTGGGTGGATTGCCCAGAGCTATTGAACTTTTTTTAGGAGGGAAGTGCCCAGAGTTGTTGAGCTTTTTGGGGGGAGGATTGCACAGAGTTTTTAAGCTTCCCCCCTAACTTTTTGTACACGATAAGGATCCCGCAATCTGCCAGGGATCTACCGGTAGATCATGATCTACTGGTTCGACATCTCTGCTTTATAGTAATCCAGATGGGAAACTCTCAGAACATGGATCATCACTATGGCTAGGCTAACATTGTCCATGAACAGTTGCAGTGGGCAAACCAGCCAAAGCTGCCAAAAGACTCTATGAGCCACTGAGACCACCTGGGCCACAAGTGACAGTGCTAGATCAAGGAATACCCCCAAGCTGCATGACTGCTTTTTCAAGGAGGGTGCAGCCTCATCCAGAGCAGGATAATCACCAGTGCCGCTTGTGTTTGTCATTCATTTTCTGATGCCTTTCCATAGAGTGTCACTTCGTCTCTCCTTGTGGAGGTGGTGAGACACTACTAGTCTAGGAGAGAAAATTGGGTACAGATGAGTGCAACCTCACACCCTTCTTCTCTTCTGCCTTGCAGCCTAAATTAAAGATTGGTTTACAGCGTGTTCCTTCAATGAGAATCACTTCTAAATTTACTTCTTTAGGATTGCAATGGAGTGGAAAACCTCCAACCTATGCCCTGCCAGGGGGTGAAGTTTGGCCCGTAAGGCCATTTCCCCCAAACTCTGCCCGCTGATGATGTCAGCTAGGGCAGGGCTTCTTGCGTGTTCAGTGAAAGCAAGCAGACCTGAGTTTATTCTTCATCGCTGTGCAATGCAGGCATCAGCTGTAATAGGGACTTCTCTGTCACACAGCGATAAAGAAACAGGCACTTGTTTTTCAGTACTGTACTTTACTGTACCCTAATACACCAATGTGGTGTAGTGGTTAAGAGCAGTGGACTCGTAATCTGGTGAACTGGGTTCGATTCCCCGCTCCTCCACATGCAGCTGCTGGGTGACCTTGAGTTAGTCACTCTTCTCTGAAGTCTCTCAGCCTCACTCACCTCACATAGTGTTTGTTGTGGGGGAGGAAGGGAAAGGAGATTGTTAACCACTTTGAGACTCCTTCGGGTAGTGATAAAGCGGGATATCAAATCCAAACTCTTCTTCTAACTTCTAACCAAAACTATTGTTTTGGTTATTTTAATTTAATAATATGAAACTAAAATGGAAGCTTTTGTCTTGATGGAGACCACTAAGATCTTTGTACACACAACATGTAAAATATACTTTAGTAATTTTTCATTTCCCCTTGATTTCTTCTAGCTGAGGAGGAGGCAAATGAAGAGGATGTCTTAGGAGAAGAAACAGAGGTAAATTATAGTTTAGTGTAAGAAAGTTATTTAATTATGTAGTTCAGTTAACTTGTATTATGTTCCATCCTGATCTTGGCTGATCTTTATCTTTTTGTTTTTGGTAATAGGATGCATAGTGATAAGGATCCATGTCACAAGTGTATTTGAACTGTTCATCATTTGAACTAGTTTAATTGAAAGCTCTTTTGGGTAAATGTCTTTAGTAGGCAATTGTTTATAAAATATATAATTAGGAATATATCTAGCACTGATGTTAAATGATGCTCATGATTAGGAAGCCATAGAGAATATATTGATTGTAGAATTGGAGGTGTGCAACTGTGTTCATTTGAGATTTTTGAATGAAGTGTCTGGTAACCAGCTGCAAATCTTTAATAAAATATGTACTTTTTGTCACTTGTAGATGTAGAACTAGAAGGGTGACATGTAAGGTCTTTTGCATCCAATACAGTTTTATGAGGTGGAAGAGAGGAGCTTGTTTTCAAGTGATTTTGCTGAGATGGTTTATATGTGAAGAGCGAGCAAGGCTGTTGCAGGACGGAGGGGGTTTGCTGAAATGCTCAGTGATTCTAAGTAATGTATATTCTGTGCTACAGTTTCCTGTACTGCAAATGTACACAGTAAACGGTGGTTGAGTTTGAATTTATCATTCTTCATACAACTGTTGTTACTATTTGTGATTACTAAAATATTGCTTTCCTAAGAGATTAGTTTTTAGCAAAATGCATAAAAATGGGAAACCTGGGTTTGTATTTTATTAACTTTAAGGTTAATTGAAGTTATAAAATAGTCAAGGAATTGAATGTTTGTTTATTGCCACTGTGTCCCAGTACTAGTGTGGGAGTGCACACTGAAATTACTTAGGGTTTCTTTCATGATTACAAAGCTTGTATTTAATTAAGGTTGCAAAAAACTGAATCCAGCCTGCCAATAGTCTGAAAGAGAATGAATTTTAAGTGGTATTTTTAAGTTCAAGCAACACTGAGTAATCACATTTCTGATTCCAGTTCTAGATTAGTTTTTTGTTTTTGTTTGTCTTGTTTTTAGAATGTAGACTGCTTAGTGAGTTATTTGTGAATCTTTTTTTAAAAGCAACAACAACCCATAAAGTGCAATGTAATCTTGCGTGTCCCAGTTGCTTCACAAAAATTCAAATTATTTGGATGATCAGGCTTATATATACAGTAAACTTGATTGCCGTTCATGCTGACATAAAATACTGTACATCTGGATAACTGGGCATTTTTCATCACTGGGGCTTTGGAACACATTTGTGCTCAGAAACATTGATGGTTTACACTAGTCCAATAAATAAACTATGATGCCCATAATTTGGACTTCACCCAAAGAGTATTACATTCAGTTCTAGATTTAGCTGTCTAAAAGGCATAAGAACCACCCCCTAACTATTTACACAAATAAGTACAATTGCACATGTAACTTTTACAATTGTGCTCCACTGATGCGCAAAATGGTCGTGGCCTGTATGTAAATTTGCCCACAAGACTTTGCAAGGTTGAGATTCTATTCATGTTTAAGGTCCCATTGAACTCTGGTTCCTATGTCCAATAAGATTTGCATAGTATCAGACGGTTATCTGCAGTTCTCATTAACATCTTTTGTGAGACTTATATTCATTTTGTTCTCTAGGTTTACCTCTCTCCTTTTGACTGTTTATGTTGCAGGAGGAAGAACAGAAGCCCACAGATGCTCCTATCAAAGAGGAAGTAGCTATTGAGAAATCAACTGAAGTGTAATTATCTACCCTTCATAAGCTAGAACGTATTGGTCAAACATTAGTGTGTTTGTTTACCTTCAGTATTTGTGTGCCACCTGACCACTGAGACTTTGTCATTATATGAATCTGTAACTCTATAGATGAATGGATGACTAGTGGTGGCTAGGGATTACATGTTGAATACTTTGGCTTTTTTGGAAATCACAAACCAGAAGGCTAGCTAAAAGTTAAAATTAAATGTAGACCCTTTTGGAATTGACAAAGTCCCATATTCTTTTATAGAACATCGAAGCTATTGGACATCTTTGCATGTAGGGATTTACTCTATCATCCTTGAGCCAAATGTCTATGGCAATCCAACCTCAAAATCTCTTAAGGCTATATATATTTTGAACTTAATAAAGAAGTAAGAATTTTTCACCAATATAATAAAAATGTTGCACCATGGAAAGCTCAATTTTGTAACCTAAGTAGTTTTACCATATCTCTCCCTCCACCCCCGGAATGGCATTAGCTCCCTTGTCTCTTGTCAGTATATTGTCTTTCTCTCTCTCTCTTAACAGAGAATCTCACATTCGGTTCTTGTTAGCCTTTGTAGGTGTAAGAAGAACTGTTAGAGCCATCTTGGCGTTAGTAAAGACAAAGCAAAAGTACACAGTTTAGCTTGCAAAGCTCATTCTCATTCCACATCAAGGAATAGGCAAGTTGTAAAAAAGAAAAGGGCCACCTGTGTCAACGACATGCTTTAAAGGCTAAAATAGAGAAGCAAATTGCCCATTTGTCCCTTGTGCCATTCATCAGCTAAACATTTGAAGGGGTATGCAGCCTACTCCTGACCCTCATGCACACAAACTGTGCAGGGAAAAGAGGTCAAGGAGGGTGAACTACCACCGCCCCTAGCAATTACGCTGCATCTCCTAACGGATTGTCTCACATTTTGAGATGCGTGGTTTTAAGATAGATAAAATGTAGCAGGCCTGTGTGTTTCATGAGCAGATCCCATATCCTTGCTCTTCTAGCTGCTTTCAGCTTCCTTATCAGACTGAACCAGATGCACAAGGATTTCTTGATATAGTAATTGCATGCAGTGGCCTGAATTACCTGAGGGCACAGTTTTCACATTCGCTAGGTTTATTTCTTTATTAATTGTTTGGAATATTTTCACTTCGCTTTTCATCCCCGTAGCGCTCTCAAGGCAGCTTACAGAGAAAAGATAATAAAACAACTTATTGAACCAGCAAAACCCTTTGTAACAAAAGTATTTTGTTCTCAATTATTAGAAGGTAATTAGAATAAAGTACTCTAATTGTCCCAATTCATATTTAGACCTTTTTCTGGCTAATTCTTCCAGCTGTAGAAATTAGGTACATTTTTATCATTTTTATCAGATGGCAAAATAGAGCTGAGGAGAAGACAAGTGATTGTTTGGGAGAATAAGGTTCTGCTACCTTAATTTGCATTATGGAGGTCCCTGCTCTATTTTATGTATACGTTGTACCTTTCTTGGCAGCAAAGTCATTGGAATGTAGAAGCACTGAATTCAGTGGGGCTCACCCACAGATAACACGTTAGGATTGTAGTCTTAGTAGCTTGAATATTTTATGCCAGTGGCGTTTGTGCATAATGTGAAAGGGTGAGTACAGTTCTAAGGGAATAAGTTCTTAGTTCAAGCTATGGCTGTACTCATGGTGCAATGAGAAAAAATTATCTGGATCATTGCCTTCATTTTCTATGCAAATATATGTGAAAATTCCTATTGAATGAAAATTACAAGCTTGAGTTTCTAACCATCATTCCCATAAATATCAGTCAGATGTTGCTATCTGCCCTATATTTATTGGGATTTTTGATTTGAATGACTGTTGTTGCAGCATATTATTACATAACCCTGATCTATTAGCAATTAGTAGCAACCCAAAAAGCATACAATTTGACCAAATCCTACGCTGTACAGCTGAATTTTCAGTTTGGAGACCACGATTATGTGAATTTTAGTGTAGTGGCTGTTCCTAGGCAGCAGGGGGTGCCCTTTCTCCGCATCACAAACAGAAGGCAGCAAACAGTGCTGCAGGGGTAACAAGTCCCTGGTTCCTGTTCTGAATTGCTTCCTGTGAAAAAGTCATTAAACCATTACTACCTTTCAGGGCATAAAATAGAAAAACTGTCCAGGAATTCTGAACAAAAGCCATCCATTTCTCTAAATGGGAGACCTTAATGAGTCAGGCTATGACCCACTGTTTTATGGGAGCTGTTTGGAGGAGGAGGATGCTGTTTCATTTAGCCTGGGAACTTCCGAACTTTGCATCTTCTTCCTTTGTTTTCTTTTGCAAACCTCAACCCTGTTTTCAGAGCATAAACTTCCAAGCACGCCCACTCCATTATATTTTTGTTTGAGTTGTTTACTGGCTCCCATTGCACATTGTTAAAGAAGTGTGTGTTTGAAATGGAGCTATAGCTGACCTGGCCAAAAGTCAACCATAGCTGTCCCATGAACTACAACACAGCAGTCCCTTTGTGAATATGTGGTCATAAAAGAATAAAGATCTGACGCCATATAGCATAAGCTTGAGGTTTCTGGTTGGGGTTGACTGTTCATCGTAAGTGGTTTATACCGGTTATACTATGCGAATGATTACATGCTAAATAGGACCTCATTTATCTAACTGGTGTAGAACGCATCCAACTATTTGAATATGCAATTCGAACTTCAGATAAAGAGTCCAGTTTACATTGGCATGTGAGAGAGACAGTGAGTCTGGAGTTCTGTAATGTCTCATGGTTCGTCATCTTCATACTTTGCCTATTCCTTTTATTCTTCCTATCCTTTCAAGTTGAATGACATCTGTTTCATACAGAGTTGAAGATAATTTCATTCTTTTCAAGGTTGTACAGATAATTGGGGTTTAAACAGAGGCTAAATATGAGGATTGTCACCATACAAGCAGAAAATGACTACCAAGCTCCACATTTGTTCCATTGGTCCTGCACCTTGCTAGAGCAGAGATGAAACCCATGAGTTGATTAAAGGTTTGCCCTTATCAAGACAGCATACTTTCCTTTACACAGTCAAATTCTTTCCTTTGTACCCCCGGTTCTCTTTATAATATATATCCATGCATACATTAATTGACTCATGGAGTACTATGTGAACTGCAGACTTGTTCAGTTTCATCACATGCTGTTACTGTTGCCTGTCTCTTCCTGGTTAGAAACTACAGTGGTGCCTCGCAAGACGAAATTAATCCGTTCCGCGAGTCTCTTCGTCTTGCGGTTTTTTCGTCTTGCGAAGCACGGCTATTAGCGGCTTAGCGGCCATTAACGGCTTAGCAGCTTTAAGAAAAAGGAAACAAACTCGCAAGATGTTTCGTCTTGCGAAGCAAGCCCATAGGGAAATTCGTCTTGCGGAACGACTCAAAAAACGGAAAACTCTTTCGTCTAGCGAGTTTTTCGTCTTGCGAGGCATTCGTCTTGCGGGGCACCACTGTATATAGTCTGTAAGCAATCATGTTTCTTGTTGGTTTCTGAGCATGTACAAAATTTAAATTAACAAACTGGCTGACCATCCACCAGGCCATTAGACACACAGATCCCATTTAGTGATTTCATCTTTTATTCCATCTTCAAATCTAATTTTTTACAATGTATTTTGTATCATTTTCCTGTTACTTAGGTCTCATTCAATATATATGTATGTTTCTACATATATTTTACAAATTCCAAAATAACTTGTTATCATATCAGTTAATGCAATATGCAACTTTCCCTAATCTTACCTTCAGTTGATACTACATTTTCCAGGGTTTCTTTGCCAATGTAATTTCCTTCTAAATCCCTACATTTATCTTAAAGAAAATATTATTTATGACCACATAAAATTAATTCTGAGGAAGTTTGGATTTCATAATCAATTATCTCTTATTCCACTCCCCCATCCCACCCAATTTTTAAATTTTATTAATCAGTACCACCAGATGCTGATTTTTAATGTCTCCTTATCCTGGTATTGCCAGCATTTCGCTGAATTGTGTCAATATAGCTTCCTATTTTTTTAAAGCAGTGTATTATTGAAGTAGAGCACTTCTTATTAAAATAGTGTTTACTGAGCATTTTTCAAATATAAATTATTGTTACACTGACAACAGCTTTAGGGAAGACAGGACAGACTTCTGGAGCTCAAACAGAAACTGCAGTCATAGTCAAATGTCCTTCAAGAACCACTTGCAGGAAATAGTTCAGGCTTGGCTACAGATTAAACTGTTGAAAATAGACATAGTTGATATGTTATTTATGCTTCAGTCTGTCAATTTATCTTCCTCTAGAGGTGCAGAGAAGAAGGTGGTGAAAATTGCCTCAGAAATTCCACAAACGGAGGTAAGGTTTTCTCTTTTTTCAGTTATTTTCATCTGAGTTTAACAACTAGGCTCCCACATTTGGAAATAGTGTTCTGTCTCCAGCATAATTTTAGCACATGTAGCTCAGATTCGGCCAGTGTTTTATAGTGTATGTTACTGAGTTTTTCTTTTTCTAGTCTGCTGTTGGTCTGCTATTACCAGGTTGTTCACCTTCCCTTCCTCTCTCCTCTGCTTTTGGGCACTAGAAAGAGATATTGGGAGCATCTGCTTCCCATTGTAAACAAACCACAGTTCTCACAAAGCATAGTTTAAACAAAACACAGTTCCTGGAGTTCAGCCATCATGGAGAATTTTGGCTTGTTTACTGTGGAAAGATGGGGAACGGGGACTGCTTGAGCCATTTTACATAGCAGGAAGCAATATCCCCCCCCCCATTTCCTCTGAACTGCTTCTGTATAATAAAGTCATAGGTGCATTCACATTAACACTAAGCCATATATTAGTGCTATGTAGTTGAGCCCAAGTATGTTTCTCTCCTTCCCCTGCTTTTACATGACGAGGAGGAGGACTTCAGCAAAGTTTAGCTTTACTTTTAAAGAACCTGGGCTTAATATTACATTTGAACCAGGGATTCTTATTTGAAACAGACTCTTGTAAGTTCTTAACCAGCTTCAGACCATAGGCTATGAAGTTGGTTTGTTCAACTAACTGTTTAGCTTAAACCAGGGTTCTTGGTTCAAATGTAATGTTAAAAAGTGAAATAAACTCTGCTGAAGTCATCTTTCTGGCCATGAAGGAAGAGGAGAGGGTTGAGGGAAACATGTAAACCTTACACCATGCTTGGGTTTGTACAGGCTAAGCCATGGTCCAGCACAGCAGTAGCCAACACTGTGCCGGCCAGAAATTGTGTACTGCAACTCTGATCGATCCTGGCACTATATTGGCTACCCCTTGTGCTAAGCTATCAGAGAGTTGGAAGGAGGGACTTTGATCACTGCAGATGGTGACAGCAGTCACGAAATTAAAAGACACCTGCTTCTTGGGAGAAAAGCAATGACAAACCTAGACAGCATCTTAAAAAGCAGAGACATCACCTTGCCAACAAAGGTCTGTATAGTTAAAGCTATGGTTTTCCCAGTAGTGATGTATGGAAGTGAGAGCTGGACCATAAAGAAGGCTGATCGCCAAAGAATGGGGTCACGAAGAGTCGGGCACGACTAAACGACTAAACAACAAGTCTAATCTCCTGCCAATGCAGGAATCCCCTACTATTGCATCACTGATAAGCAGCTTTCCCCACTTCTGCCTAAAAACTGAAAAAGTTAGCTTTGGATTCAGTAGTTGTAGTTTGTACTGTGTCTTATTAGCCTTAATTCTCCTATGCCACATATATCTGTTGCTGTAGTCTCTATTAGCTTTATGATGTGTAGCTCTATTGCAATTAGTAAATGAATACAGCCTGTGTTATCTTTTGGCTTGCATTGGCAAGAGAGATCACTAGACCAGTTTTGGAGAACTGATTACTTATTATTTCGCAGTGTGAGATGAAATGTATTTGCTATGCCTCCATATCTGCCCTTCAAATTGTTCTCTTCTCATTCTGTGGCTCTTTCTCCACACTCGCCTTAGGAACCACTTCCAACATTAAAGGAGATATGGACACGTCTGTAATCTGTCTCTTATACAGAGTTTGGCCTTCTTCTAAGGGAGCAAAGGGTTCTGTGGTTAAACCTGGCATACACTTTCTCTCTTACATCTGTTTGGCTTCCTTAATCCTTTATTTTCATCACTTTCCACTGCGCTCTCTCTAACTGAGGAAGCTGATATGAAAACACAAGTCTGTCTCCCTGCTGTTCAACTGTCACCTTCAAGATCTAATCTGCCTGTAAGCTGACCACAGCAATTGAGGACTGATGTCACAAATCATGGATTATTACTTTGGTAGGGCAAGTAACCAGAAACAATAAATAGAAAATTATCTGAAATGGAGCTGGTACTGAAAGAGTGACGTCTTCTAAACTTTGTGGGAAGCCTTCATCAAGGGATCATTAAATTATTCTACTTGCGTCTTCTCTTGCTCCCTCTGCTTTCGATTTGCAAGTCTGCCAAACTCCATTCTTTCTCAAATCCCTTGATGTTTCATGAAACTTTTAAACTTTATAATGTAAATACCTTCCAGACTCAATTGACGTACCTAATGTATCATGACCTTCTCAGAGCAACAGGGTTTTATTTTCAGCACTGTCATTAAGGGTGCTGCACTTGAACTGCTTTCAGGTCACATAAGGAATTGAGATTCTTCTCAACTTGTAGAAAACCTCACTTTAGTGAACAAGTTTACTGTTTGCAAGAATTAGCAATGGGTTGTGCTGTCCAATGAAGGGTTCGTGCATTTCTTAGGTTGACAGTAGGTTATACCATGAACTGTTTTAATTTGATTGTCATAGATATGTTGCTGCATCTATGAAGCTTTTAGCCATTAGGAATGAAGCTATCTTCTATTCATGCAGAAATACTTTATATGTTGGGCTTTCTGCATGTTTCATACAGTTATTTATTGTAAGTAACTGTATTTCTATGTCTGATCATCTTTCATTTATGCCACAAATGAACGCACATTGAATCATGTGTTCCATGCAAAATTATTTATTTGTGAAAAGTAGCCTTTTTATGAGCCTATGACAGCAAATGTTCTTGGACTCCTGCCATGTTCTGTAAAACAATTTTGCTTTTCATTTGTAAGAGAGATTTTATCTTAACTTCTGATGAAGTTCTGTTTTGCATGTTTCCGGATCAGCTGTGATCTGTTTGAGCTGTCACTTGCTTTCTGCAGCTAGGTGGGGAAATAAGTTGCTCATTTTGTATTCATGCCGGGGCTGCTATTCCTGTGACTTCTGGGCAGAGCTTTTTCTGGTTGAAATGTGCAACATTACTGCCAACATCTATTTCAGCTGCCCTGGTTTGTGTATGTGTCTGAAGCAGGTACACATTTCCCTTCATAGTAGCTAAGACAGAAGTAGCCAATACAGCCTTCTTCTGATGATGCTCAACTCCTAACAGCCCCAGCCAACATGGTGAATTTAATGGATGATGGTAGTTGTAATCCTGCAACATCTGTGGGACACCACGTTGGCGACCTCTGAGCTAAACGTTCTTCTAAATACCGATGGCTGTAGCAAAGGGCATGAGGTTACATACCATATATTGTGTTGGCTAATGAGAAACCGGGCTTCTGAACAGAAGCATGCCTACTGGAACAGCCATTTGCACTATTCCGTCTCTCTCTTGTTAAGGGATTGGCGCTGTATTCTTGGTAGTTTAAAATTTCGCCTACCTCAATATGCTCTTAGCAACAAAGATGGATCATTTCATATCTACCAACAGAAACACAGGCTTACTGGGTGTTTACCACTTATTCTGTGTCCATATTGTCAGAGTTGTCATAACCTCTGGCTCGTTAAAACATGTTGATTGTTGCATCAGGAGAAACAGTCAGAGATTCTCAAGTAGAGATAGGAAATAGAAGTTGATAGTCTCAGTGTTTGGATGGACCTGGTGGTGTCTCACCACAACAATTGCCCTGCTTCCATAGCATCTTTTCTTCCAAATCTTGGAATAAGCAGGAGATTGAAAAGTTTAATAGATAGTTGCAGGTGGGAATATACTTATGACTACTCATAAATCTGGAACAAAATACATTGTTTTTCTATATTGCCTACCATACTTGTATTCTTTATCTTCTACTTTAGAGAATGCAGAAACGGGCAGAGAGATTCAATGTACCTGTGAGTTTGGAGAGTAAGAAGGCTGCACGAGCAGCTCGGTAAGTCTTTATTTATTGTCATTATTTGTTTTCTGTGGCTGCTTTTTAACCATTGTGCAGATCAAAGTTTATTAGAGATGCATTGTGCAACTGACATGTTCTAGTTGTCTGCAGTGACTACCTTTGGAATTTGAGTTGTGGGTAACCAAAAATGGCTTCATTGCTTTGTAGAGATGCTTGCTTGAACCCTGAAAACTTTGCATGGCTTAAAAAGAATTTCACAGTTGTCCTCATACTTCCATAGCCTATCCAGAGTATTAAATCTTAGTCTTTCTTCTAAGAGAAACTGTTTCATAGACTAAGTAACAATAGAAGATAGAAAGGGAATGGGGAAATATCCAAGATAATATTTTAGAAAAACAAAAACAGGGCGTAGTAGACTTCTCTCATAATGTCCTTTTCCAGGTAGAAGTCTGTCTCCCCCCAGAAGATGTCAAAATTACCATAAAATCTATGAACAACTGGTTGTATGGTCAGTTCTTTTCACATGCTTTGAAATGTTAAGACAAATAAATGAGACAAATTATTATTATCATAAATTAAGTAATATCCCATGTTTTCACTTCTGTGCTGCTATTCATGAGCAACACAAATGGTCGTGAAAGGGATTAAAAAATGAGGAAAATACCATACACAGGTGTGTTTAACCTTACCATCTGCTGATACGATACCTTGCTCTTTATATCAAGAAAAGTACATTGAAGACTTGTGAAAGATCCAGAGCTTTAAACATCCAATTATTAAACAATGTGTAATGGCAAATAAGAATAACCTACAAGGAAGAATAACCCACAATTTCCCTTTTGGACCATCTGTTCTGCTTGATTGGTGATTATCTTGTGAACAAGGCAGAAATGCTATGTAGATCCAACTTTGTTTGCTGATCTGATTCAATCTAGTAGTCTAGGTATGTCATGTATTAAAATTGTTTTCTAATCTATGTCATGGTTTAGAGACCCAAAACCTCAGAGTCCCTAACCAGGGTTTCTCTCTTCTCCACAGGTTTGGTATGCCTGCAGCTTCAACTAAAGGTATGTGATTCTTGAAGCGGTATCTCATATTTTTGCCTTCCTTTGAATGATTGTGACCATTTTTCTTCCATGCTGTAAAAACAGGGTTGAAAATGAGGTTTCATTGTCTTTGTACCCTTACAAATACATTAGCAACATGGTTCCAGCCATGGTTATTCACTGGATTTTTAATCTCCTTGCAAGATCCTCTTGCTGATAAATTAATATAACTTAATCTTTTTTATGGAATTACATAGCAAATCCCAGAATAACCTGGATTTGGAAATACCATGTTTTTACTAAACCACTAGAAATCCAACCTGTGGCATCATTATGAACTAAATGCGATGGATTCTGCAGGTCTCTGAAGGGCCAAAGCAAGGACCAAAAGCTGTAGATGCAAGTGACAAAATTATTATTTCTCCCAGTGCTTAACTCTGGATTAACAATTAGAATGAATGTTTGTATTTCTGTTAGAGGATAAATCATTTTAGAATTAAGGTGGTAACACATAGTACCTGCATGGACTTTCTAGAGAGTTGGTGTAGGCCACAGAACATGGCAGACCCCTGATGTAGTAACTGGCAGATACTAAAAGTCCCACTGAGCTCAGTGAGGCTTGTACTTTGGTACCTGGATATAGGACTAGAATCTTTAAAAAGTTCACAGAGAGAAAGCTTCCTTCCCATCCCATTTTGTTCAGGTGGGTCTCCCCAAGCTTCCTTGAGAAGCTTTTCGGAGATTGCAGGAAAGAGGAGAGAACAGGAAACATTTATTCTGCTAATGCCCTATTAATTTTGGAATCTAAGCCATTATATTTTCTAGTAAAAATTTCCACTTCAAGCATCTTTTGAGTCTCTTTTGGCTTTAAGACCATTACTTTTATTCTAACCACTTTTTAAATTTACTATTTAGGCAGTCGGAAGAAAGCTTGATTCAAATATGATAATTTAAAATGGTTTTTGTTCCCTATTTCAGGTCTTGTGACAGAAAGTAAGACTACAGTAAGTAGCTACTTTGCTTACAGTTAAAGCTGGCTTGGTTTTACAATGGTACTTCATTCATTAAAACTTGCTAGTGAATCCACCGGGGGGGGGGGGACTGACAGACAAAAACAGTATCTGAAAACTATGCTCTTTAGTGAGTGGGCGCCTCAAGACAAGCATATAATTTTTATTTGGATCCAGTTCTTTGAAATATTTTGCTTTCTTTTTTCACTTTTTGTGGTTCTTTGGTGCCTAATGGAGTAGAAGATGAGATGCATACTGTATGTCTATTGTGTTCTTTATTCCATTGCTAAAAGCAATTCTATCGTATTAGGAAATCAGGCATATTAATTGGTTTTCTTCCACGTACAACTTCAGATTCTGTTCTAGTTCAAAGGTACTAAACCAGGCAAGAAGCCTTGCTGGTTTCGCCCCCCCCCCCCCATTTTTCCTTCTCCTTGGCTTCCCCATATTCATTCTGCCACAAAGTCCATATCCAACAGATCTGTCCATTCTTTTTTGGTCTGTCAGATGAAAAACTGGTTCATTCTCTGGTTGCCTCCTCCATTAACTACTGCTAATTTGTTCTATTTGACCTTGCTTTGTCACATCTCTGTATCTAAAAAGCTGTTGCCCAAATTCATTTCTTCACTTCTCTTTTTATTAAGTTATATGACACATCTACTCAAATACCTTCAATCACTTCCTCCCCCCCCCATTCTGCACCAGTGCCTTGCCATTGCCATCAAACGTAACAGATTTGCCTCATCTTGTGTTTCTGCTGGCACATCTTTGCTTATGACCTTCGTTTACAACAGTCAGTTCTTGAAAAGTCTTTATTTTCTTTCATGTGTCTCTTCACTTTCTCCCTTACCTCTATGCCTGGAAGTTGCTCCTTCCCACTGCCACCTCTCCACCACTACCTTCCCTCCCCTTCAAGCTTCTTTCCTCTGTGAAGCTTTTGGCTTAACCCTATAGTTGTCACTTCCAGCCAAAATGATTTCTAAGTGTGGGCATTTGTTCATATTCATCCTCCGATAAGACATGTCTCTTCTATTGTCAAAATTTAGATTGTCAATTCTTTGAGATAGGAGCCTGACTCCTTTTGACTTATTAATCTACAACACAGCTACACTTTTAGAACGTGTTGCTTATGTTACTTTGCAAAGCACTGTGTGCACTACTGATAATAGTATTAAGAACAAAGGGCTAGTTGCCCTGCTAATTTAGGCAGTGTTTCTTGAGGATCGTTCTAGTAGAACAAATGCTAGTTTCAGTCTTCTGTTCTGCTGCTTACTTGGGAAGTACTTTGACAATATGATGAAGCAGATTCCCACCTAAAGATTCCAGGGTCCCCCATAGTATAAATCTTTGCAATATATGCTCATTTAGCAACTATTAGATATTCCTCATAAAGGATGCTATGTTGCTTGAAATAGCTTTAAGGGAACTGGGCAAAACTTCCCTAATGTAAATTTCTTGGCCAAATTAGGACTGAAACGGAATGTAGAGAACTTTTTAAAAAAAGAGTTTTATCACACCCACACCCAAAAAAGAAAAGTCTGTTTCAGTTATTTTTGAAACGGGCAATCAAGCAGGGGTGCAGATTGGCCTCCTTTAAAGTTGGCAACCGCAGACTTGCAACTTTATCTGCAGGGCTGCCACTACACCCCATAGCAATTTGCTAAGAGAGGAGAATGACACTGCTGCCTGTCATGTCCTTAAAAGTGCTGTTGTAGCACTTTAAAAGAATTGATCTGCAAAACAGTGCCCAGCAAGATTCCTTCTTGCCTCCCAGTGAGAACTTTGCCAAGAGAAAGAGACGGATCCCAATTTTACAGAGAATTTCTTGCTCCCCAATATGTCACTGGGGGGGACGGGACACAACGCAAGCTGCTAAAACATTCAGCTCATGCCAAGTGCTTCTTAATTCTGAATGTAATTAGACATGGCATCTTCTCAAATCTGAGATGGTGCTGAAATTTGGTGAAAATATATATTTTCTCTTTGATACTTTCCTGTGTTTATCTTTAAGAGTTGAATGGTATATACATATTGCTATAGAGTTCAAAATGCAAATCAGATCCCCCCCCAAAAACACAATACATTAAACATGATTTATTGAAGATACACAAAACACAATTGACTTGGCAACAACAGATGTGATGGCTCCATTTTTACTGTTGTCAACACATTTTAAAATAGAAGAATCAGTCTTCTTTAAAATCCCTCTACTAAAACACTAGCACAAATCCTTCTTAAAAGCAGTTTGCAGTAAAATTCTGAACTTCTGGATGCCATCTTCTTATTCTCCTTCCCTCTGTAATTGGTAAGAGGGGTTGCTGCAGTATAGAAAGAGGATTTTTATTAGGGTTAAGCAAATCCATCAATACAAACACTAAATTTCAGATCTCTTCCATTTTCCTTGGCATAAGTGCATATTGTCTTTAGGATTCCTTAATCTAAGAATATGAGTGGAGATTATATTAAACTGTTTCCTGTGACTTTTCTAGGTAAATATAGACAAATTAAAGGAAAGGGCTCAGAGATTTGGCTTGAATGTCTCCACAGCCTCCAAAAAGGTAAGGTTCCAGGGCAAGCACTACTAGAGCAATAAATATTTGAAAAATTGAAAAACTGCAGCATATATATCACTTAATCCTGTAATCCTACTTGTTTTATCTTACTTGCTTTGATGAAACTTCCTGGTCGATCAAGGATCTTAATCTCCCCTATCATCAGACTATCTCCGAGCCCAATTTATAGAATTAAAGGGTTTGTGTTAAGAGATCATGCAGCAGTGCTTTATTGCTGAATTAGGAACATATGGCTTTCTAATTTCTTTCTTTCTTTTTTTTAGCATAGATTTCTTACTAATTTTGGGGTAATATTACTTGGGACCAGTCCTTTTAGAACAGAATAACTGAAATGTTCACTTGTGGAGGCTACCCACAGTGTTGCAGAAAGCTTTCCAATTTAGATTTCACCCAAACATCTGGACTGTACCACTTCAGATTGCTGGAGGGTTTCTACAGACAGAAAGCTAATACAACAAGGAGAAGGCTAAGCTAGAACCCTTCTCACTACTATCTAATTTTTTGTGTGGAAAGCTTATTTAACTTATTTTAATTTCCGCATCTGGGAATATTCAGTCATATGATTCCCAGCTCCTGCAGTGCACCCCAAGCAGCTTTAGCACATAGTGAGAACTAAGCTCTAGTTCTGTGTGGTTCTGGGTTCTATCTGCCACCGAGTTCAGGACCCAGCATTCCCAATATTGACTTGGGTTCATTATGCTTCCAATAAAGGAAGCATAATGTCTGGAAAAAGTTAGCATCAGTTCAATGGTGGCCAGAAATCCTTCAGCAGAAATTGTTAGAACAGGTGATGTTGCTAAAATCTTTCCCAAATAATTTTCTGCGTTACAGATGAGAGACATGAGGAAAGGGAGGGGGCGTATCTAGATCTGGAAACTGATATTAGGCTGGGCTGTTACTCTCTGTGGGCCTGAAAGCTGCTGACAGTTCTCCAGTTCAGTACCACCATAGAAGAAAACAGGATTTGGGAATGGGGGGGAGGGGAGAGAGAATGCTGTATATTGATTATTTCAGACTTGGAAATATTCTTCTGGAAAAAGCCTCGTGAATGAGGAAGGCTGTCATTTTGTCTTAACCCCTTACCAGATAAACTATTCCATCCCTCGTGGGATTTGCACATTTAATGCATTCCGTTCTGCAGTAAGGCACTAAACCTGGCACCAGGGGGTTAAACCATGTAGAAAATAACTAGAGGTGGAGGCCATTTTCCTCCCCACCCTCTGCTCTGGGGGAAGGGTGAAATCATGCAAGTGCATTAAAGCTGGAATATGTGGAGGGGCAGGTCAGGGTGAGAGGCTGCTCAAACATCATTAACCCTGTCACCAGGAGTGCACATTTTTCAGGAAGAATATATGCTTTGTCAGCATTTATGGCCAAGTTTCCTTTTGAGCGGAATTGTTTAGATGACGATTCATAAGAATTGTAAGCTCTCTCTAAAGAGCTTCCCACAACTATTCCCTGTTCAGTACTTGACAAAATAAAAGTGCTAAACATTAATTTGAATGCTCTTAAAGAATACAAACGAAGCTAGCTTCATCAGAGAATTGATCCTCTTTATACACGGGGAGAAAATACCAATAGGAGAATGGCATATCCAAGGTCAGAAATTGATTGCTAAGTTCGGTCTGGAAATCTATGTTTCTGTGCATCTGTATTCTTTAAACACTAACATTTTGTCTCCAGTTCTGGTTTTCCTTGCATATATGAGGCAGAGTGACAAGCAATAACATTATGATGATTTGTCTTGAGATTTGTTGTGATCTTCTATTAGGAAGTAGAGTTCAGAGGCTTAGAAGTGTTTTCTCTCTCTCTCTGAAGAGCACTCGTGAATTCTATTGAGGAATATTGTTGGTTGCTTCAATTAGGCACTGGTATTGTGTTTCCCACCTGGGTGTTCTTTATAGCTTTTCATTACAGAGTAGCCTGGTTGCATGGGTCTTTGCAGATTTTTAACACCACGCATTGCAGCAAAAACTTTACAGTAAACCATTGTCTCTGGAGCCACATTTCATTTCCCATTCAAATTGGTTTTGAACAAGAGAGGTGGGGGAAGAGGAATATAGCCAAGGGCAATTTCAAGCCTGCTGGGATCAGGGGAGCAAACCTAGATCTGAGTAAGAGGCTCTCCATCTAATCTGTCGCTTTGAACCCACTGCCACTGTAGAATCTATTCTGTTAAAAACATCTCTTCCTAAAAGATAACAAAGCTCCTACTAGTACAGTAGAATAGAGGTGGTGACTGTCGCTGTCTAGTATAATAGATGTGGCAGGTGCTCGCTTGTTTTTTCTGTCAGCACGGAGCCATCAAATTAATTTTTAAAATAAATCAAGAAAGCATTTTCCTCTCCAGAACTAATCACACCCCCTCCCCATGCTCTCAAGGGAAGCCTCCTTTTAAAATTTACCCTCTGACCTGAGGCTGCTATCCCTTGATTTCTGCAAGTTACACTTAAACTGCTCCCTTCCCTTGTAAATTTCCCCTCTGTAGCAGCTGCTCCCTGTACCACTCTGAACCTCTGGCTTCCCAGTGGGAGAGCTGATAGCTGCAGGCTTCAGTGTTGCAGAAGGCTGAGCGGGTTGCTTGCATCGTAACGCAAAAGCGCATTCTCAGAGGGCTTGCTTTTTCTTTTTATGCGTGAAACAAGGTTGTAGGTATCCAGCAGAGAGAGTATTACCACAAAACAGAAGCTTGGGGCTCTTTCAGAGAGCCTTTGGCTTAGCATAAATGTTCCTTTCTGCATTGCATTATTTGGTGCCATTCCCAGTCGGAACAGATGACTAAAATAATTTGTGCTTCACATTAGCTAATGTAAGGGTCTTGTTCTGTTTTACAAGTAGCTAATTAACCTGCAGCCTGTCAGAGGTTTGAGCTAGGGAGGTAAAGTACCAGCACGTCAAAGTCACACTGCAAATGGAGCAAAAATTGCAAGGATCAAACCTCAAACACATTAGCACCAGCTTCTCCCAACTCTCAAATGTGCGTTTTAAGTCGAAAAGTTGAAACTTTGAGGCCTCTGCTTAAACCCAAAAAGTTAACAGTGCTTGGAAAACAAGTAGGAATCTCTTTAGAAATGCAGTAATACCCAAATTTGTCAAAACTGGACCTATTGTACAATCATATGATACCACTTAATAAACCAGCTGCAAAGTGTATTGCATTTTTACACCTGTGATGTGACAGAGCTTATGGTTAACATTCAGAAATTTGAGTCTTTCTCCATTCATTTTTGTCAATAAATTACCATACGTACCCTACATGGATTAAAAAAAATATATCCTACATGGATTGCTTTGTTCTTTTTCCTGTTTGTAATGGGAAAAGGGCAATGCTTTTTTAAACTTTGCATGTGTAGAAGATTGATGAAAGTTGTAGTTGGATTGCAAATGAGTAGTAGCATATAGATTGACAAAGTAATTGTTGGCCAGTAAAAGTTTAAAAGTGAATTTTGGTCAAACTTAATGTAGTTTAATTATTTTTAGTGAAGGCTTGTTATAGAGGCAGAAGGGAACAGTTTGTGTTTTCTAAAATGGGCTTAGCAAAGCTCATTTTTCATAATGTGGTTTTGGGAAGGCAAATAGGGTGGCAGTTTTGTGCATATATAATGAGAAAGCAGTTGGCTTAACTGTTTACACTTTCAAAAAGTTCAGAGCAGTATGCTGAGGAAGGATTCTTTTCCTGGATTGTTCTTTTCCTTGCAATATTTTCAAATGCATCCCACCAGTTCCCATATGGAAAAATATTAACCAATAGGAAACGAGCAGGGGAAAAGTGCTGCAAAAGATCTGATGACCATTTAAGCTAATCTTTTCCTAATGTAGGGTTCTATAACTATTAACTGAAATCCATGCTACCAATTAATACCCTTTTCCTCAAAGTACTATACTTCAAGCAGAGAACACAGCAGCAGCACTCTTTCCAAAATTGTTAGTAATATTTACTATTGTATTATGAATTGATCTTGTTCACACATAACTCTAAGCCGAACTTTGGTTTAGTGTAAACAAGCAAACATGTGGGGTCCTGGATTGGAGATTGCAGCCACTTGGCTCCTTTTCCAGTCATTTTGCTGCTGCGCTAAGGTAAGCCATTGGACAGACCTTGACTACAGATCATAGTTTATCCGGATAGAGCTAAACCACAAGCCTGGGTTCAGATGAGGAGCTAAGTCAAAGCCACATCTTAACATTGCAGTAGCAGAGTGTTGAGAAGAGATTAAGGCAGTTGCAGCTTCCTCTCCATGAGCCTTTTTGTTTGTGCTAAACCATGGTTTGGCTTAGTGTTATGTGGGAACCAGACCATTTTATCTCACTCGGCCCATAGAACGCTGAAAATGGCTGACATGGGACATGGCACCTTATCCAAACACTGATCAAGTTCCAGGCTGCTAAGCCTCAGTCATGCTACGGTTCTGAGTACTCCTATAGCATTCAAAGCAGGTCTTGTAACATACTACTGCAGAAGATAGCAGGAAAATTAATAGCAACATTTGCTTCTTGAGCTCAAACAACCTGAAAAGGAAATATTTATCCTGAAAAGGAGCTATGTTGCTATAGAACCATACTGATTTTGTGGTTTGGGAGCTTTCTGAACGTTAGACAAGATTTTTGTTACAATATAAGAGCATCAGGATCCGGCCATTTTATTACTTCCGAAAGATGAGATATCTTGGTTCTCTTGGGAGCAAACCAGGCTCTGTCCAAGGTGGTTACATGGTTAGGACAAGCTTGGAAGGCTTTGCCAGCAACTTCGTAGTCATTCTCTGTTGCTCTTACATTTCCCCTTACATTTACAAGCTGCACATGGTTTCCTCATACAATGTTACGCCTTTTCCCATATATCCTGAGAAATATTCCGTACCTTTTTGCAGGTTTCAACTCAAACTCTATTTCCTTTTTCACTTTTGTCTGTGCAGTTTCTGTAAAAATGTAATATTTATTGGTTTTCAAATCTGGACCAGTTCCCATCTTCCTTGACCATTGACCCTACTGATTTGGGCTGATGGGAGTTGGAGTTTAACAACATCCAAAAGGTCATAGGTTAGCCACCCTGTCTAGTGCACTTGTCTTCACAATGGAACATGGTTCTGAGTAAACATGTATAAGCTTGTGCTGTCAGGTTACACAAATGGGTTGAACCCTGACTAAAATGGGTCACGCAAGTGGCAGCACTACCATTCTTCCCCTCTGCCTTTGTGGTGGTGGTGTTTATAACTTGGGGGGGGGGGAGAGAGAAGGAGAAAAACAGTGTTTTAAAAGGAAGAGGGAATGGATAAGGAAGAGAAAAAAGGCGAAAGGCAGTAAATTAAAACAAAAAAAAGGAAAAGGGGGCACCTTCATGATTGGGCTAAAGGTTCAAAGATTGAAAGATTTCTGGTCTGTTACCTTCTTGATGTGCTCTCCTTTGAAGCTATCATTTGTCCGCTACACAATATTACGATAACTAGAGCATTCAGTGCCAATTTACTACAGGAAACCACCTCCCACTTCAGCTGCCTTTTGCCCCTGAATGTAGTTTACTGCAGGCAGCACCTTTGAGGACAAATAGCAGCCAAGGAGGGGGTGATTTCCAGCAAGAAACTGGTCCAGGTGCTCAGTCCAGATTATGAGCATGTTCAGGACTGCAACCCCACAGTTCCTTATTCTTCAAAATAAAAATGGCTATTCAGGCACCATTTTTAAAAAGTATGAATTTTGGTACATCTAGCTTGGCCCTCGGCTTGCCAATGTGTGTAGATTTTCTTTTACAAATCCAAGGGGAGGGAGAGGCTGCATAAGGTCTCCATTCAAGAGGCTTTATATTAGAACCTAATTCATATATGAAAGAGATTGTATCTAGAATTTGGGTTTGCATTTTGTCTCTTTGGAGACATTACACTGGGAAGAATCATAATATGAGGCATACTGGTTCAGAGCTAATGCTGTATTCAGAATTGCTTCTGAGCCTCCAGTTCTAACTCACTAGGTAATAAGCCCCAGTAAACACATTGGGCCTTACTTCTGAGTAAACATGTATAAGCAGATGTTGTCATTCTCACTGAAATGGCATTTTTATTAATATTTTTAGATTGGATTGCATGCCATATATGCAAAGCAGCTGATTTCACACTTTGAACCTGACTTCCAAATGTAAAGTATGAATCTGTTCTAAAGTAAAGCATCTACAGTATACGCATATCCAGTGTAGTGGGTTGCCCTTGATATGCTCCCCCCTCCCTGCCACCTTGAAATGATGTCACTGTGCTCCAAGTTGAGTAGTCATGAATGTAGGCCTGTTGATTTTAGAATAATGGGAAGTGACAAGGTGAAGAATAGTGCTGGCAGTCATGGACATTTCAACACAGGGATGCTGAAAGCAAGGCCACTCCTCCCCCACGCTCTGGGTTGTTTATAAGAAGAGTCCAGTGGCTTGTGCCAGGCTACACTGATCACATAGGTTGTATAGTTTGCAGGTCCTAATATAGGATGGGTGTCTTCTGTCTCTCAATATATAGGCTAACCATTTCACTCAATAATCTATTAGGCATGGCTGAAAAAGCAGGCAGGTCTTTACTCTCATAAAATATATTATTTCACAATTGCAGCCTCAGTTTTTGAAGGCATTGTATTTCCTAGAAATATGTTAACCAGAGTGATACTGTCTCTCAGGTTTCCCAAATACAGCCTTTCCTAATCTCAAGCTTAGCTTCAATAAAAATGATTACATATTCAGAGTTAAAGCCCTTAAAAGCTCTAAGCAAATTAAACCAGTTAGAAATAGTCAAGCTGGATAATTGTCCAATAAATGTTTTGCAACTTCTGTCAGAAGCTGACCCTTCACCCTGACCCCCATTCCCTTGTTCCTATTTTTCTGTTATTCCTTGTATCTGGTCCACATTCTCTGTGTCTCTTTTTTAAATGAAATGCTGGATCTGGCCCTGTGATCCACCTACATTTGGTTGAAGCTAGTTCTGGAACAGGTAGTATTGATGTCTGCGCATTGCACTCATACCTACCGCTCTCTAATAAAATTTCTGCACTCTAGTATGTTGAAGTGGATAATTTATTGCCTCTGTTACTCTTACCTCTTCCTTTCCTTCCTTCCCTCTTTCTGTCTTCCCTCGACCCTAGATGAAATTTTGATTGTAATCTTTATGGCACCGGGACTTTCTTGTTCTAAATATCCATAACTTCAGTATTGAGTGGTTCTTATGACTGAAGTAGGGAAATGAAGTATTGTTGTCACTTTTTTCCACACAAAAGTGACTCAAAACGACTTACAGAAACATTTAAAATAATAACAAAAGCAACCTAAAATTCTCCCCAATCATATATATAAATTCCATGGTTGGAACACATTCAAAATGTCCCTATAGAAATCAGTGGGAAATCATCAATGCATTATGCAAATGCTTGCCTAACAAACGATTTCCTGCAAATGTTTGGATAGCAAGACCTGTGTGTATAGTAATTTAATGAATTAGTCAAGCATTCCAAACCCAAATCACACCATCACTAATGTCACCAGTTTTAATCAACTTTCTGATAATAAGCATGATTTTGTGTCCTGTGATGTGTTGCACAGTCTTCACTTGAGTGAATGAAGTTCTGGAGAACAATAGACAACAACACTAGTGATACTACTCTGCAAAGGGTCACTTGTCTTGGCTTTTCTGGCAGGTGCTTTTCTGAGCAACCTTCAGCTTGAAGGTAGGGCCATGTCTTCTAACAATGTAGTTGGAAGTCATATCTGGCTATATAATTCTGTGGCTGATGCCAAACCAACCAGTGTTCTCCAGTACATGTCTCTGAGGAAAGCTTTGAATGTGGTTGTAGCAGATACCAAGAAGAAATCCAAGCCCATATACATGGGACAATGTATAAGACAAACAGCCTCAGCTATTTTGTGCCTACAAAAAACCTTTCTGTTCCAATCAACCTCTCAGTCATTCCCATCCAGTTAAGCAGCAGCAATCTAAGTATGACCAATACTGATTTTCCAGCACAACCCTATGCTCATTATCCTGTATGAGACTCATCTCATGAGATTTGGAAGGGATCCATGACAGACTGTTGGGATCTGGAGAGTGGGAAAAGGGTATTTTGTGGAATTTTTGCAAGATCCCCAGGGAGAGCAGTTCAGTACCACCATCAGCTATTGGTAAACCAGGTCCTCCTCTAAATACCAAGATATGTTTTCGGCCTTTTTTTACTATCTCAAAAAAAAAAAACACACCAGGGACCACGCTCCTCATCTTGGAGCCAAAGATGGTCAATTATCACCTTCCAAAGTAAATTTTTTTGCATAGAGATCTTGCACTTCATCCTAGCATGCCTCAGACTCAATTATTATCTGATATCCATTCATCTGAAGAGGCTTATTAAATGTCCCAGTCAAACCAGGGCATCATAGTTTCCTTTGCTTCACCTACAGCAGGGATAGGGAACCTGCCCCTCCCTGTTTGTTCAACTACAACCCCAGCAAGCATGGACAATGGTTTGAGATGGTGGGAGTTGGAAGTCCAATAATATCTGGGGTGCCACAGGTTTCTCATCCTTGAGCTACAGTGAAGAACAATTGCATTTTCCAAACTCTTCATTTTCATCTCCTCTCCACTCCCAGAGTCTTTATAAAGATCCTATTGGCACAGAACCAAAGGAATGAATATCTAGCCATATCTGGACAATCTTCTAGTCTGATCATCCTCTAAATCCTAGTGCTGTCAAGACATGGCCAGGATGATGTATACTCCGCAAGAACACAGTTTCATGATCAACAAAATGAAGAACACTTTGATTCTATCTTGCAGATAGCCAAGTCACCGTAAGCTTTTTAACAACAAAGTTATGGTTGAGACCTCAGTCTCATCTACAGTCTCCAGATTTTTGGGATTGATTATCTGCATGTATTTCAGACATTTCTTCTAGGATACCCACTGCAAATGACCAACAACCTCAACCCAGAGACCACTCAGATAGTGGGTACCATTGACTCATCTGAGCCAGGAGATTCCTATTCAGGAGTCCATCCAAGTGCTCTTGACAACATATCCCAGTCTGAAAATTTGAGGTGCACACTGCAAAGGTGTACAGCACCAAGACCTGTGGTCTCCAGAAACAATTTAATTGAACATCAGTTCCCTAGAACTTTGGGCAATCATACTGGCACTGCCGCATTTCTTCCATCTTCTACCAGGACATTAGGTATTCATCAAGACAGACAATGTAGTAGCATATGCCTATCAGTACATTTTCAAAACTCCTTAAGGAAACCACCTCCCTGTTATTCTATACAGAGAAATGTCTTCAGTTCATCAAGACAGAACATCTTTGGCTTGGCTGCCAAAGCTAGATACTGCAAAGTGGTCTCTAGGCCAATTAGTGTTTCACAAATGATTGCTCAGAAAAGCCATCATGAAACTGTTCACTGGTTCCTCAAAATCAGCTGCCTAGATTCACATCAAGTTTCTTGATGTGGGAGAATCTGCAGTTGTGGACATCCTATCAGCAGACTGGTCCAGAAAGTGTTATATGCTTCATAGATTCTACCTCTCATTTCACAAGTACAGTGGTACCTCGGGTTACATACGCTTCAGGTTACATAAGCTTCAGGTTACAGACTCCACTAACCCAGAAATAGTACCTCGGATTAAGAACTTTGCTTCAGGATGAGAACAGAACTCGTGCTCTGGTGGCGCAGCAGCAGCGGGAGGCCCCATTAGCTAAAGTGGTGCTTCAGGTTAAGAACAGTTTCAGGTTAAGAACGGACCTCCAAACGAATTAAGTACTTAACCCGAGGTGCCACTGTACTTAGGAAGATTAAGGACCTGCAGGCTATGGTGCTACTGATTCCAGCAAAGTGACTTAAGACACTTGTAATTCTCCAGTGTAGTGAAGCTGTTGCCAAAGGACCCATGGATTCCTACCAGCAGGCATCTCCTACATCAGTGCCCCATTCTTCATTAAGATACGGGATTCCAGGTTATATAGAAATTGAGCGAATCTTCCAACTCACTAAGTTATGCATCTAGGTGAGAAACACCTTGTTTGTATCAAGACATTCCTTCACCATTAAACTTCATAAGCTTATTTGGAGAACCTTTGTCCTGGTGTCTACAATCAAATAAGAGTCTAGACACTGCAGGATCTAGGGAAATCTTGAACTGCCCCAAGACAATCTTAAGCATCTGAAACTTGGGTTTGAACATAGTCTCTGCCCCCCTCCCCAAGTTATCACCCAATACGTTAGTTCATTTTACCCTTCTCAGTTCTTCTGCAGTATGCTAGAGTCCTCAGCATTTTCTTGAAAGCCTTAACCAGACTGAGCTTTGAACCATTCACTGCTGTTTCAATCAAAATTTGACTCTGAGAATCATTTTTCTCATGGTGTATCTGAGCTGGAAACTTTCTCTTTAAATAAGGATCTGTATATTTCTCATTAGGATAAAATGGTATTGTGGCCTGGTAGAAGGGCCTATCACAATACTCAGCTGTCCTCCTTCCCTCAAGAAGGAAATAAATTCATTGGTTAGTACAGAATTTCTGTTTATTACAAAGAGAAGATTCTTGTAGACCTGGGGAGAGTTATTTTTTATTTGAAACCTTAATAAATATACCAATTTAAAATCCTGTTTCAGGTCTGATATACAGTGGTGCCTCGCAAGACGAAAAGAATCCGTTCTGGGAGTCTCTTCGTCTAGCGGTTTTTTCGTCTTGCGAAGCAAGCCCATTGATGGGATTAGCGGATTAGCGCTATTAGCGGCTTTTAGCGGCTTTTAGCAGCTTATCAGCTTATCGGATAAGCAGATAAGCGGCTTAGCGACTTAGAAAAAGAGGGGAAAAGGAAAAAAACCCAGGAACTCGCAAGACATTTTCGTCTTGCGAAGCAAGCCCATAGCAGATTCGTTTTGCGAGGCACCTCCAAAACGGAAAACTCTTTCGTCTAGCGAGTTTTCCGTCTTGCGAGGCATTCGTCTTGCGGGGCACCACTGTACTATCCAAATCTTTGCAGGTTGTTTTTCTGTTAAACCTTGCAACCAGACCTTTTTCAGCTGGAATGTGTCGGAGCACAGTTCTGGCACCTCTTATATGGGCACAATTGCAGGCCAGCACTCCTCCTGCCCATTTATTGCCGTTATGTACTGCTGAGAAGCCCAAAACAAACATTTCAAATCAAAAAGGAAGCAGACCAGCATATCCGAGTCTACTTTTTTTTTTAATCTATGACGCCACCCAGCTCCTAGCTGCAATTGGTCAAACTACGGGGCAGGGCCAATTCATATTTCCTTTTCTTCAGTCTGTCTTTCATGGGCCGTTTTAAGCTTTCCCACCAGGCCTCTACCATTGCACACACATGCGTTTGCGCAAGGGCCCATCTGTTGAATCTAAGAAAACGAGGGAAGCAGGGGTGCATTTATTTGACAGTGTTTTGAATGTTCTTCCATTGTTAACAGTTGGAGGTTTTTCATTTTGAACTCCCAATGATTTTCATAACTAAATGTTTGTCCATTAGACTTTGCGATCTCTTTGATTCTGGAAGCTGTATTATTCTTGCTGGTATACTCTAGAATAACTTCATTTGGCATCTTTAACATATATTGCCAGGAATAAAGCAAGTATATTTCTGCAGATAAGCTTTCAAAGACTTTAGCAATTAACTCAATCCAGATATTGCAAACATTGAACGCCTTCCTTTTCAGCCACTCAAAATAGCACTCTCTCCAGATGTGTGGTCCAAATACCTGTGAGTGATTTCTCAGCATATTAGAGCTGTGTCTCCCATCAAGCCTATCTAGGAGAAAGTAACTTGGGGGGGGGGGGGAGACCAAAATGCAAAAATATAAGATGGATCCTTCTGTGTTTCAAAGAGGTTTGAATGGTGCTTGCTTCTTAGCTATGTATTTCCAATAGTCCTGGTGATATCATTGTTCAGTGTTTAGGATTATACTATTATTAATGTTTATATCATTCCCCCCACTTACAATACATGATATTTTAAAAATAAATGATGAGAGAGTTGTGAAGGGTCAGCAGGGCTCCTGATCTTTCCTTTCTCCACGGTGCCATTTGAAAAGGATTTTGAGTCCCTAACAAACCTTTAGGGAGTAGTGGAAGGGTTGCTTAAAACGAAAACAATGGCAAGGGGTACTCGGCGACCTCACTCTGTCCAGTCATCTGGTTCTTCATTTGTCCCTGCTGTGAAACAGAACTTATCTTTTGTCTGTAACACAAATACATCTTTTCCCCCCACCCCCCTTTCCTTTCTATTATAGTTCAATCAATGATGTCATTATGTGTGCCATTCAGAAACTGTTGAACCACTTGGCTGCAGGAATTTGGAGGAGCAACTGGGGGAGAATGGAGAACTGTGCTCTCACTCCCAGTCTTCAAGGGTCTATTCTGATTTTAACAAAAAACAAAAACCCTGAAGTCACATTTCTTTTTTTAACTCCTGTTCACCATGAAAAACAAAAGTAATCTAAAGTAAGGGGAATGCATACATGAGGGCAGTGCAAGCCAACCGCAATGCTTTTCTTTGGCATGAATAATCAAGCCTTTTAAGAGTTCTAATTTACACCACAAACATTTTCCAGGGATTTATAATAGTGCTTTCTTGCTCAATAAAAATGCCAGCATCTCTGGAATTTGTGCCATTGTTCATAATTTTCCTTCTGTACCTCATTAAACTGTTTCAGTTTGATTAAACAGTTGTCTAGTGCTGATGGGGAAAGGAGGCACCCACGTAGCTCAAGACCTGGAGATCTACTTGCTATCTGTTGCTGTAGCATCAGATTAAAACCCCATAACGTATTTTGATTATTAGCACAGGTTTCATTATTAGTAAAACTAAGTAGCATCCCTCATCTGTTTCAGTGTAGAGTCATGTGTTGATAATTAGTAATAAAATCCATTCAAGATAAAAGTAGCTTTTCAGATCTTTGGCTGAGATCCAAAGATCCTGCTGGATGTGACAGGCATTTCTGCTTATGTGTGGGGTGTAGCCAATCTCCCCCCTTTTGCAGCTTCCTGAAATACTGTTTTAGAGGGTTCTCTAACCTTCTGCGCTAGTTGGGGTGTGTGCAAAGGACTGCAGATGGTGGGAGGTATCGAATACCTTCCATTCTTGCAATGGAATCCAAGTCTTTGAAAGCAGTCCTAGAAGTTCTTTTAATTTAGAAAATATACAGTAATATATTGTTAATTCATAAAGCAGCTAAATATAAACTAAAACCTTTTAATGATACTGTGTAGGAATCTGATCCAAAGCTCATAAAATCAGCAGTCTCCAGAATCTTATGGAGATTGTTTTTGTTGTCTATCCATGCACATGATACTTTATAAAGAATGAGAGGCTCCTGCCCCAAGGGACTTAACATTTTAGAAACAAAAGAAAGGGAGAAAAATTGAGTAATGGAGGTAAGCAGAGGAAGAATATGTGGTATTTCAGATTATGCACATTTAGTCTTAGTTACAGTAGGTTATTGGGAAAATACAGTTTCTGTTCTCACTTTTGAGATGTTCTTCTACAGCTCCTCAGAGAAGCACATTTGGTATCAATACAGATCAGGCTTGAAGCTTTGAATTGTGAGGTCTTTCTTCTGAAGTTGGTATTTAATAGCTCGGTCCAGTATACCTGAAGGAGCGTCTCCACCTCCATCGTTCTGCCTGGACACTGAGGTCTAACGCTGAGGGCCTTCTGGCAGTTCCCTCACTGCGAGAAGCAAAGCTACAGGGAACCAGGCAGAGGGCCTTCTCGGTAGTGGCACCCGCCCTGTGGAACGCCCTCCCACCAGATGTCAAAGAGAAAAATAACTACCAAACTTTTAGAAGACATCTGAAGGCAGCCCTGTTTAGAGAAGCTTTTAATGTTTAATAGGTTATTGTATTTTAGTGTTTTGTTGGAAGCCACCCAGATTATTATTATTATTATTATTATTATTACCACCTTTATTCCAGAATTTCAGATATTGTTATCTTGGTTAGTCCTCTGTATATCGAAAACCATTACCTTCTAGTTGGTGGGCTGTGCACAGGAACAAACCTTGGTTATAGCTTGTGGTTAGTGAGGAGATATCTTCATCACAAGTCCTAATTGTGACACACTGTTAAGCTTAGCCTGGTGTAGCAGCAAAAAAGGACTGGAGAGGAGCAAAGCAGCTGCTAGCTTCTCTCCGGGAGTCCACACACTTCTACGGTCTCAGTAACCCAATGTTTGGCTTAGCTTGTCATGAAAACCAGCCCTACTCTTTCTCTTCTGTGCATAGCTGATGCTGGCTTGTTTGGTGAGCTCTATAAATTGCTGTAATAAAAGGTTTACTGAGAATTTTATGATTAGTAATACTCTTCTTAAACTGAGATATGAAATATTTAGTGAGAGATTTTATAATAGCTTTTTAACCCAATATGATGTGAACTTCTCAAAAAGTGGGCTTGCAGTAAGCAAAATTCTACAGTCATAAGAATATTCTTATATTATTAGCTGTTCGCTTATCATTAAGCAGACTATATAGAGCAAGGCTACAATCCAATATCCACTACCTGGGAGTAAGCTCTATTGAACTTGGGGGAACTTATTTCCGTGCAGTCCACTGAACAGCAGTGAGACAATGTGATAAACAGCTTGCTAACCCCAAATTAATTTATTTTATTTGAAAGATGCCCTGATTTTCCACTAATGGTCAGGATATCATTAATGTAAGACTACTTACATTAAAAATTAAAAAATACATGAGAAAAATAAAACTGAGCAAAATCCACTAGTCATGACAGAGAAGTAGAAATAGCTTGTAGTGCTCTGTTTGCACTCCGACCATTGACAGTGAGATTTTGACAGTAAAGAAGTACAATTCGACATCTGGAATTGACGGGAGAAAAGTCTTCTGCATATTATTTTTGAGGACAGTAAATATGGGTTTTTCAGCTCTGCTTACTGAAACTTCTGTTTAACTGTGTTGTTTAAAAAGCTGTAGCTCTAGTCCATTTCTAATCACTGACAACACCTAGTAGTCCTCAGTTCATACATTTTCATCTAAAACCTTATCCAGTCAATTCCCATTACCCTGGATGAGAACTGGGAATCAGTTGTGAATATGTAACCAGTTGTGATTCTGTATATGCATTGGCTATGTACACAAAAGTCTGCTCCCACACATAATTTCCTTTGCTGGGTCAGGCTAATTGTGGACATGTACATAGTATGCAATAGGTGAAGCTATCTAACTATATCCTTTGAACACTGTTAAATGCGTGATCTGATCCTCTGAGGAGGGAGAAGTTTTATAAGTTTCTTCCAGAGAAAGGCTAGTGTTTGTGGTAGTTGAATGTATCCATCATTACCTGGAATATTTTTGAAACTTGAAAAGGCTACATTATGTTATTAAAAAGCTCACAAAAGCCTTTCACTTTTTCACTCTGCACCTGAGATGTGTCTCTTTGAGTCTGCCATGTGGCATTCCTTATATGTATGCTTCATCCTCTGACGTCTAGGTCAAAGAATGCTTTTCAACTTCAGAATTAAACTGGGAGTTGCAGGTGTGCTCTTAACACATGGCTGTGACTTTTTTTGTTCCTCACTCCCCTGCTGATCCCGTTTGGAGCAAGCATAAACTTTTATCTGTGAAGGCCCCTGGTATTTTGACACAGAGAGCTTTCAGAACTGCTGGCTCTCAGAACTTTGCCCTTTAACAAATTCAACACCTCAAACAATTCTGATCTCTTAAGCTTTTTCTCTTCCCCGGCTTGTATTTATGCTTTAAGCAGAAAGAGTCAAGTAAAGACGAAACAGTCCTGGTGGATCTGCACTGCCTTTCATTTCCTTTTTTATTTATTTTTTGCTATGATGCCAATGCTGACCTGTATATTTGATGTAGAGATCTGTGTAACTTGAAAATTTGTGTCAACTAAATCCAAAAGATGATACAGTTGTGCAAAGGTGCATTGACAGTGAAACTTAATTCTTTTTTCTATCAGATTAGATACATTATCAGATTTTGTTACTGACTCTGCTTTTGTTTTATTAGTTTTATCATCTTGTAGTCTTCAAAATAGGGGTGTGATGACCCTGCAGTGGATATAGAGTTGAATATTGATTATCATCATTGCCTTGACATCTTGCATTATGTGTTACTTAGCATCATGGTGTGGTAGACTACACTAGTTTGCCCTTTCTTTGTATCAAATTGTAGGACAAGCTTGCCAGCTGTCTGTTGTATAGAAACATAAACATAACCTTATTTAACACTAGTTCACATCTGTAGGTTCATTTCTAAACAACACTTTTGGGGCTCTGAAAAGAGCTTGATTCAGTGTCATCACATCCTTCTACAACTACATCAAGTTCTTGGTGAAACATGACTTATTAGAGGATGGGAAGCACTGCGCAGTGTTTGACTTTCTCTTGGGCTTTGAGATTAAAGAGCTGTGTTGATTTGACTGACTAGTCCTGAAAGGGGGAGATTAATCACATATTCTTTGGGCCTTTTGTGAGAAGCAGAGTGGGAAGGTAAGTGGTATTGGAGTCTATAAAACTAACAGCTCCTTGATTGTGCCTCTGCCATTGATCACAGTGCATGTGTAATGTGTAACTGAGCAAGTTTAATACTTGGCAAAATATCATTCTAGGGCTGTAAAAGGGAGAGTGGTGTCACAATATGATTATATTGAAACTTTTCAGTTTCCTGTTGTTTCGTTGCCCCTACTATTTGCTGCCGAGCGTCATTCGCATAGTTGATGCACACAGACACAGAATAGAGTCCACTAGGGAAAAGAGCAAGAAGATATAAATATGTTGGGATGAATTTCAAAAAGGTGGTGGGTGACAGCTGTGCATCCCAGGATTAGAGTGTTTTGAAGAACAAAACTATCAGTTGCTGTCATTCACCCTCTGGGTATGAAATTGGAAGCCAGCTACTCATGAGTGTTTCATAACCTTTACCTTTTGGAGGTCAAGGCCATGTCATCATTAATCTACCATCGCCTGAAAGCCTGGAGGCTCTGCTTTTCATCCTGCCATCCGTCATGCTGCAGTGGAGATACAGGAGTGGTGACCAGAAGGGTTCATTTTTATATAAATGCCCTCCCACCGGCTTGTAAAATGCAATTCATGATAATGTCATGCTTATTTTTATTTTATTTTTTAAAAAAGGGACACCTGAAGAAATTAACAGGCCACAGGTTTAAAACAAAAAAAGGATAGTTCTCCCCCCCCCATTCCCTGCTATCACATATGCTTGCAGAGTACACAATTGATCTATTGAACCTGTTTTCATAGTGTTGACTTGACCAGCTGGTATGAAGGGCTGAAAAAACCCACGATTTATCCCTCTGTAGCTATTTACCATAGACATGCAGATAAATACACAGTGTATTCCTAAACTTTAGACTCTGGAAGTTTAGAGAGGAACATAATGAGTGGGGAAAGTGTATAGCATCTGAATTCAGAACTGCCTGTTATTAAATTTACCATACCAAGCCTCATAGATCACTTACAGGCATGCTGTATTTGTATTGCTCCTGTCTTCAGTTGTATCCTAGAACTCAATTCTGGTATGTGAGAGGGTTCATCTGAAAAATTCTGCATTGCTTCCTCCTGTGGACCTTTTCTTAATTGAAAGCATCCTTCTGTCATTTGTCGCCTGATATCTTTCAGTTGTGTACTTCCTCAAGGTAACTTACTATATTTTCATATTCAGACATTGTCTTAGAGATGAGGCTAGGAAAACTCGATCGCTTTGTAGTTTGCTGTATGAGTCTGTTCAGCTGCATTAGTCAACTTGCGGAGGCCTTTCCCTAGCACTGCTTCATTTTTTTTAAATCCTCCTTTCACTTCAAAGGAACGTAAAGACTCATCCCTCTGTATATTGAAAAGAGATAAATAGTTAAAAGCACCTGCACTATGACAAAAAAAAAATGCACTTCACAAAGAGGGATCCTCTTAAAGCAAATGACAAAAAGAATTCTTGCATAGTGTCCTAGGACACTGAGAGCCAGAAATGTAGCTCTTTATCTTTAAGAAAGATTACCCAAAGATGCAATGAAGGCACATCCCTCAATTGATATTAGCCAAGATTGAAAGATGTACCTTCATGCTTAGAATGTTGATTAGTATCAAGAAGGGTGTGATGGAGACTGATTGCTCTGTATTTGCCTTCACCTAACTCTGAATTGTATAGAACTAGTAAAAGCCAGGTATTGGCATCTAAGGATACTTTGATCTGGCACAGTACAATATATTTTAGGTTCTTTTGGTGCAGCGATTGAAGCCTTTTAACTATGGAAAGTTGTTATACAAATAAAACGAGGTCTGTATGATGTATGTAAGCCATACTTTTGCTTACTATGTTGTGTGAACCATGCCTAAGGAGGCTTGCAACAAATGTAACAAAAATTGTCAAGGGATAAATAAAACACATCAAAAAGTATACAACCAAATCAAACAAATCTGACATTAAATCATGTTCTAAAAATATAGATACAAAAAATTAATATCAATAACAGCAACAACCATCTCCGCCCCCAAAAAACAATTCCCCAGCCTAAGAGTCTCTTCAGCAGCCTCAGCTTCTGTAGGATGTAATTCAACCTAGGTTATTTCATCAGTGCAAGAATTCAAGGTTCTCACCATACATTTCGCTCCAATATTTCAAAATCTGGCTCTAACAAGCGAGTGGTCCTCCTGAACCCGAACATTCAGAGGTTTACCTGCTCTCTGGACAAGTCATTCTTACCAAGGTGAATCAATAGGCCTAGGGCATGACAGAGCAGCTTATTTTCATTTGGAATGAAAGAGGCATACAGTAAGTGTGAGTTGACTCCTTCTATTGCCCAAGAAGTCAAGGAATCATGCAATGCAATCTGGTATTGTAGTCTTCACCCCAGTTGGTTCTCTGCCTTCACCCAAGACAGAGCCTCCTCTTACTTCAGCATTTGTACTTGCCTTCCAGCTATTCTTTATTTCAAATTTCAACTTATTTCATTCTCTTTGTCGTCTTCCTCTTTTCATTCATAGAGATTTAAAATTTGTTATTTGTCTTTTCTGCTTACTCTTTTCCTATCTCCCTTCCTTATGGGTTAATTGGGAAGACACTGCTTTCTCAACAAAATGGCACCATTTTGTTCACATGGTCAGACCCACTAAATCTGAGACAATGACCTGCAGCTGCTTAACAACCTCGCAGTAGTGCATGCATCTCCAGGGGGAAAGCCCTATTCCTCCACACGTATACCCCAGCCTTGCCAACATCTGCTACCATCACAAAATTTGTCCTTTCTAACTACTGTTGCCATAAGGACTTAGCAAGAGAGTAAACAACTGCAGAACCCCAAAGGAAATGGGGCAGCCAGGGCACCATAAAAACAGGGTCCTCCTGTTAGGTGACATCTTGGAAAAGAATTATCTCCACAATTGCAGACTATCTGTACCAGAGAGTGAGTCTCCCAAGCAACCAGCTAAACAAAGGCCTTCATAAACAAAAGACATTCAACATTCATCAGATGAATCTGACCAGGGCTCACCTGTATATCACCTGCAGGCCTTGAGTGAAATCCCAGCCTCTTGCAGAAAGTTGCCTTCTAAGGCCCCCATCACAGATAACACATCTGCTATTCCCATGGCTACTGTTCCTGCTGATAGACAAAGGGATCTGGAGCATCAGGGTAACCTGGAGAGAACTGGGAGTGAGTTGCCCGATGAACAGCCCACACCAGACTTTTTCATAAGCTTCTGAGGATCCAAAGTGCTGCCTTTTGTTCCTCTTAGATATTTGCAAAGATAGGAGCTCCTCATTCCCAGAAGTAAGTTCTGATGGTGGCTGTTTAATGGGAAGGTGCTTAGCTGACTGACTGGCTATTCTGACAGCCAATAAAAGGTACTTTGTGATAAAAATCAAGTTAATAAATGCTACTCTCATGAATGTATACAATTTTTTAATTTTTGTTTCCATATTTATTTGGATAGTTTTCTATCCCACTTTCTCCCTAAAAAAATGGAGGTGCCCAGAACAGCTACCTAGGCAAAGAATAAAAGAATGCAATAAGCAATATTTGAATAAAACATTTATTAAAAATAAAAAAGGCAGTACTGTAGTAAAAAAACTAAACATATATCCAAAGGGTATCAAGACTAAGATTCCCCACCTGCTATTAAGCTGCCTCCTTGGTTGATACTTTATTTGCCCATTTGGGATACACTAATTGTTTATTGCACAAGCTACAACTCTTTGAAGGCAAAACCACTGTCAAATATCCCTTCCATAAATATAGCCCAGGCATCCCCAACCTGCGGCCCTCCACATGTTTTGGCCTACAGCTTCCATGATCCCTAGCTAACAGGACCAGTGGTCAGGGATGATAGGAATTGTAGTCCAAAACATCTGGAGGGCCAAAGGTTGGGGATGCCTGATGCCTATCTAGCTTGTGCCCCATACTTGATTTTTTACTCTATGCACCTGTATCCTATTTTCACTCTTACCCACCCAGCACATGGATTCAACATCTGTATTCTAGTCATTTGGATATAATTATGCCAGAACCACAAACAAGTACTGCTGAGCCTTTTTAAGGAGATGCCATTTCAGTAAAGGAGAGCAGCGGATCTTTATGCTAGATCATGGGTAGGCAAACTAAGGCCCAGGGGCCGGATCTGGCCCAGTCGCCTTCTAAATCAGCATACGGTCCAGGAATCAGCATGTTTTTACATGAGTAGAATGTGTCCTTTTATTTAAAATGCATCTCTGGGTTATTTGTGGGGCTTGCCTGCTGTTTTTACATGAGTAGGATGTGTGCTTTTATTTAAAATGCATCTCTGGGTTATTTGTAGGGCATAGGAATTCGTTCATTTCCCCCCAAAAATATAGTCCGGCCCCCCACAAGGTCTGAGGGACAGTGGGCCGGCCCCCTGCTGAAAAAGTTTGCTGACCCCTGTGCTAGATAAACAAAGGGGTGAAGATCCAATGGAGCCCCCACCCTGGCAAAGCTGCAGTAGAAGTATCGTCCAGCCATTGGCTTAATGTGGGTTTTCCTTCCTTTTTTATGCAATGGAAACCACGCCTAAAATATAAGAGGCAACTTTTTCTCTTCTGCCCCACCTCACTATTAGATGACCAAAATCCAGTAAGTCAGATCCTTCTTGGGGCCACCCAAAGAGTATCCCTGCCTTTATCTGCTGCCTTAAAGGGCTTGAAAGCATCTGTCTCTGCTCTGCAGCAACACCTGTTCTCAGTCACTCTCCACTCCCACAAAACGATCCAGTGGCATGGCAAAACAGCTGGAGGTCCTGCTTAGCCGCTGGTTCTTAATAGCAACAGTGAAGGAAAGCAGAACTTCGAATCATAGAATTGTAGATTTGGAAAGGACCCTGAGGATCAACTATTCCAACCCTCTGCATTGCAGGAAAATGCAGCTGGCCCTTACGAGGATTGAATCCGCAACCTTGGCGCTATCAGCACCACATTCACTCTCACCAACTGAGCTAATCTGGTTTTCCTAAACAGCCAAGTTATTTACCCTGCAGCTTCTCTCTCCAGTGGCTGTCCACAAAACTCGCCACAGAAAGATGTGTGAAAGTGCAGTGGAGCAATCTATTTCATTTGTATTTGAAACCAGGGTTTTTTGTTTCAGTTCCTGCCTGTGCTCCCCCCAAGTATATGTTTTTGTCCAGGTAATGCAAGTTCTGTGCTTATTTTACAAATGGTGTGTATTTGTGTGCACACAAAATTTTACATCGTTTTGCTTACAAGTCTGTATGTAGTAAAACATTTTGGAACTTTTCAGGAAGAGCGGAATAATAAGGAGAGAAAGGTGTGGAGATAGTTATAGAGAAGTAGGAGTCATGGGACAAGCATAGGAGATGTGTGCAGATAACACCCCCCCTTCAAAAAAAAACCCAGGCCTGTGGCCAATGAAATCCTTTGTCTACCTCCTCCGTTTACTTAGCTTTTTGTCTGTGTTTTCTAAGCATTTCTTCTCAGGCAAAAGAGCGAGAACTCTTTTTTAAAAAATGATTCTGTGAGTTGACTGTATTTTTTTCTGATGCGGAGCTTCTTAATCCATGTACCTTGCAGTAAAATATTCATGCAACTTCAAACATTGCGATTGCACAGGGTTTTGTTTTGTTTTGCTATTTACAAAGATTTCATTTTTTAAAGTGTGAAGTATCTTGGGATGCCTGGCTGTGTACTAGATTTCAGATTTGAGAATCCTACCTGAATAAAATAAACTAAAAATACTTTACATGGGAAACCTTTTGTACCTTGGATCCTTCTCTAAATCTTTCTACGTGAGTAGTGAAATAAGAAAACCTGGAAATCACCAGCTTCAAGAAATTTATCTGTCACTTCACAGGAAAGGTCAGCTTCCACCCCCCACTTCACATACACAAATGCCCATGTGCATATTTGAGCATGCCCCAGGGCTCTAGCAGAGCTTGATAGATGCTGAGATAGCAGTGTTTTGATAGAGGTAATTTTCCTCAGATGGGTTTCAGCACCCCATGAATCAAAACCTGTCAGAGAGGAGCTAAAGATGGAGTGAAGTTTATTGTAAGCGTGTTTGCATCTGACACTGGTGTGCTAGGGGGTCAAGTGAGTGAGATCATTAGAACCGTGTTGATTTAGTGGAATTGTTACACACTTTCCCTTCAGGCAATGAGTGGGGGGGGTGGAGTGATTATAGGGAGTTACTGGAAAAATAAATAAAAACCTCAGTTCACTACAGTCTCTTACATACTCCACAACATCCATTCATCCATTTAAAGTTGCTGTTTGGCTATTCCCCCTCCCACCCTGCCCCACCCCCTGGTCAATTGCCTTTAGGGCACAGAGATACTGACTCGCTTACTATCAATGATTTAAGTAGGGAATGTAGTTTTTCCATGGTTAGCTGAACCAGCTGCATTGGAATATGCATAAATTGCAGGCTGCAGTTACTACTAAGAACTTTCGCTGTCTTCACTAACTGGAAGATGGTAAGACGGATGCAGAAGACTGTGTGCCCTGGTATGCTTTGATACTAAGAGGGCGTAATCAAGCCATATATTTTGCAGGTAAAATCCACATTGCACTAATCTACAGGGTTGTTTTACATGCAGGTTAATCTCAGGCAATAGTAGTGTATAACATATGAATGGTTATGCATATATCTTTTTTTATTTACATAGGAAAGGAAGCCACTGCAGATATCATCTGACCAATTCTTGTGCCCTTAGAAAAAAAAAATGGCATCTTTGCTGCTGTTCACAAACATTAATGCACAGTTTAAAATAACCCTTGGGAATACCATTAAGTGCTGGCTCTATTTTTATGCTGTTCCAAGTGTCCAGTTTTCCCCAGCATTATCTTATTTTTGACATGTTCATTTTTCATATGAGATTTGTAAATTTATATGTTAACACTCAAAAGAAGAAAAAATATTGAAAACAGAAAAATGCATCTTGAAGTAGCATATTTATATAAGGTAACTGAACAATGATGAGCGCGAATGTTACTGGTTCTCTGGTTTCGTCAGCTCATAGTACAATTTAGATACTTAAGCTTCACAACAGCTGTACTATAAAAAGTTGGTATTCTGTCTTTGTTAAACCAATCTTTCAAGGTGTTTACAATCCATTGGGGGGGCGGGTCTCAGGAACTCCTGCATTTCTAGTACCTCTATGTGTATGGCATGCAAGAAGGTACAACAGCTCAGAATTCACACCCATCTCTCTGTGCTACATATGAGGAATACTCATCAGCCTCCTTTTGTTAGCTATACCAAATATTGTGTATCTGGGGCTCATCAGGATCACTTGACAATTTGGGTTCAAAGATTGGCAGCCACTTTGTTACCCCAAGTCATTTTGTTACCCCAAGCTCTAGATTCTGTTATTTCACCATCCTTTTTTGGGGGGGGGGGATTCTAACTGCTGGTGTGAGTGCCAGCCAGGCTACTGTAGACCAAAAGGTGTGTCATGTTTGTGAAGGTCATGTAATAACATTTAATATAAAATAATTGTATCATATTTATAATGGCCTTCAGTTGTCAGGAAAAGGTTTAGTAGATGTGTTGGAGTGGAAAATTCATTGTGAAAAGTATTCTGCGGCCAGAGAAATGGCAAACCTGCAAAGTTAGGCGGTAACTGTTACAAGGTGTTACAAATGCGCAGAAAGCGTATCTGCATGCTGTTATGGTGACAACTGCCCCTGAGAAACTTCTGCATTTTTAATTAAACATTTCAGTTGTTCCTGTTGCCACAACAGATGAAGTTGTCATAATTAATAAAGCTGAGCCTGGTTGCTATGGTGTCATTGATGTAAGGGATTGACATAATGAAGGCAGTCCCACCACTCGCTGAGGAGGTGTTGAGCGCAACTACTGTGACAAAAGTTGCCTGCTGCACCAGTGATGTCATTGGGCTTGCTTTGTGAATTGATTGATATTTTGTTTCGCATTTGTTTTAACAGTGCTGCTTGTCATGGCTTGACCGATTTATATCAATTAATCAAAGCTGAACAAATCATCATTATTTGTACAGATGTAATGTGGAGGAAAGGGAGGCTTTATATAGTCATAGGAAGAGTTCTATCCTGGTTTTTTTTATTCTCACAAGTCAAGTCATTTTAATACAATCCAGCTTGAAAGCAAGGTTCAAAGTGCTTAATGGATGTGGGAAGCTGTGCATTCAGCTAGGAGTTCATAGAGACCAGCAATGCAGTTAAAGGTTTTAGCTTGTTTCATTTCTCATTTCCACCATTCTGCTGATTCTTGCATCCTCAAGCATGATGGTTGTGAAAGCCTATCATTACCCCAATGCCTCTCATGGCCAGCACTGCTGGATAATCAAATAGGGCAGAGGGGAGGTTGTAAATGTGTTGTGTGAGCAGGTGAGGAGAATTACAGGAATAGAGGAAGGTAATTGGACAGTCTTTTGCTGCTGAAAATAGCACAAGAGAACTCCCATGGCAAATGGATGAGGTGGAGGTTCTTAAAAGGTAATGATGGCTTGATTATTACCAAGGCCACCAGCATGGTTAAAGGTTAAAAGAGTGAAAAAGCCTCAGGCTTATGGAAAATCAACAGAAGAGATCTGAAGTACCTGCATAAGCCAACATTTATTTCATAATTGAAATGGAATTTATGAAGATAAGCTCAGTGCCGTACAGGCCAACTTAATGAAAATGTTTCCATTAGAATGGGAGAAAAATGAATTAAAAGATGACCTTTTAAGAAAGGGGGAAATTAAAATGGTGGAGAAGATGCATTTTATATATGTAGCTAGCTTTTATATTTCGTATACTGTACTGCAAAATATATGTTCTTAAGTCTTGTGCAGTAGTACCTAAAGAATGACTATCTGCCATGTGTTCGGATCACTTAATCAATGACCTTCTATTCACATTAACAAGATAACAATATCCTAAAGCATATTTAACAAGCTGCCTCCGTGATGACTGTGAACTACTATAATGAGAACAGCCTTAAATTGCATGTTGTGTTTTATTAATGTTCTGTAGATCAGAACTTCGTTAGATAGCAAAGCAGATTCTGGGTTTTCTGTCCTTCAGCCTGTGTGTAATAATTCCACTAAATCAACACTGTTCTAATGATCTCACTCACTTGACCCCCTAACACACCAGTGTCAGATGCAAAAAAATGCTTGAATACTCCAGATTATCTATATCTACATACAGAACACTAAACCATGGTTTATTTAACATCAAGTCAATGATCCCCAGAAACCTGAGCAAAGAATTGGGCTCATGTGCTTTCCTTTCCTTTGCACAAGGGGTTATTGAGCTGATTTCCTCAGCTGAACATTGTGTGCAAACTGGAATCTCTGGTAAGTTCATTACCCCAAGCCAAGATTCTTTGAAAGCAAAACTAAACTCACATCTTACACACATTTAACTTGTATGCATTCAGCTTTATGCACTTGGCAAAAAAAGTAAGGAAAAAAATGGGTGGAAAGGGGTGGGTGTCTGAGAAAAGAGACTTTGTGACAACCCCTCCCGCCATTGTGTTTTGACTATACAGTATGAGATTTTGGCTTTAAGCGCGATTCTTGGAACAACGCCCCCTGTAAGCTGCTGGCTTACTGTACAGCAGAAACAGGAGTAGGGAGGGGAGAACATGAGCTTTGCTCAGAGTTCTGGAGGCTCACTCATGTAAGCACTGAACCATGGTTTAACATAACGCGTGAAGCAAAAATACTGTGACCTGATTCACACATCATGGTAAGCCAAACTGGCTTACTGGGGTCACTCAAACATGTGACTGCTTAGTTCCTCCCCTGTCTTTTATACCGCCAGCCTGCACTGAGCTAAGCCAGGGTTTGGCTGAACATGCCATTATAATGCAGGCTTACTATTAAGCTCTCCGCTTGCTAACCATGTGCTATATCTAAGATTTGTCCTTTGAAGTTTTTCAAATAAACAAACAAATATGGCTAGGAAAGAGAAACAGAGAGAGCTAGCACATAGAGTGTTGCATAGTGGTTTTCAAGGTGGAAGAATACATTTGAAGCTATTCCAGATGCCAGTCCCAGTTTATGATGACTAAGATTTACAGTGTCACAACAGCAGAAGTGCAGTGATGAGCATCAGAAGAGAGGAATAAAGAGAAGTATCTGAAGTAAGAGTAAATGCTCCCTGAAAAATTATTTACACGGCTGTTTTAGTTCTGTATGTAGTACGTAATAAGGATATGTCATAGAAGCACAATCTTTGGGCAAGCCTGAGACTAGAAAATTAAAATATAAGAACATCTAGCTTGTTCAGAGACCTGGCCTCCTGTTCCATGAACTTCATAAAGACACATATTCTCCATCCAGAGAAGGGTTTCAACTGTTATCGGAATAACAGTTCTGAAAACTATGTTCTTCTGCAAATTCCCTTCCAGCAAATGGTTCTATGAGACTAAGAAAGAAGCAGAATCACCAACTAGAATGATTTTATTGGGTGATACAGACAACTTAACATTTTCTCCCTTCTTTTTTGTATAGACGGAAGATGATGAAAAGCTCAAAAAAAGAAAGGAGAGGTTTGGTATTGTAACAAGCTCGGCTGGGGCAGCAACCACAGAAGATGCAGAGGTAACTTGTCAAACCAAAGCTGATAAGGGGCATGTTCTGTTATTATAATGGTGTGGGTAGAAGCTGAGGACAATTTGTGATGAATTGTGAAAGAATGCCAAACACTCCACAAGATGGCACTGTGTCTCTTTTATCCTGTTCTCTGCCCCCACCCCCATGGTCCCACTAAACTATCCTAGGTGGTCATATAATACTTCAGATACTCCATCAATGGGCGACCTCAGAAATTGCTTCTTTTCCACTTCAAAGATAATACATCAGGTCATTACTGTGCTTTGTGCGGGGAGGGGGTATTTTCGGGGGGGGAATAATCTATATTGCTTCAGATTTTTCTGTCACTATCTTGATGAGAAAGAGGTTATAAGCTTATAGTTGCTAACTTTATCCTCATAACAACTCCTATGAATTGTCCAAGACCACCCAGTTAGTTGGAACTGGAAGTTAGTTGGAACTGGAATCTGGGTCATCAGGTCCAAACCCAGCTTTTCTATCCATTGCAGAGGTAGCATGGTGATTTTCAATTTGATGTGAAACAAATACCATGCTGGGTGTATGGAACATTATCTACCTGCCTCTTTATACCACTGAAAAAAAACTGCCTACTGAAATCAATGGCAAGGAGAATGGTCTAAATAAACATCCAGCAAAAGCGAGATTTTGATGTTGTAGATTTTAGAAGCTTGAACCCCACACTTGGCCATGCTGTAAGTTTATTCACCTCACGAAAATATCACAGAAGGGTACTAAAGGAATCCAATGTTGTTTTATAATAGCAGTTTGTTTGTTTATTTTGTACAATAACAATTTCATTTTATAATAAATTTGTTAGTTTTTAAGGTGCCACAAGACCGACTGCTGCAAGCGACTGGCATAGCTATGTCTCTGTATAAAATTATTTTGTTTCCTGTTGAAACCTAGGGGTTTTCCCCGGACATTTCATAGTTATTCTAACACTTCGGTAGTTCTTTCCTCATGTCACATTTTGCAAATTCTTTGTGGCAAGAATCTGTCGTCTTATGTGTCTTTTGATCCCTTCTTTGAACTATTTGCCTAATTTTAATCCTCCTACTCTAGCATGACAATTCTTTGTTTCTGTAAATCCATATTCATGCTAATTGTGATTGGTATTGAGCCATAATGCCCATCACAAGGGGTCTTATTTTGCCTATGGAATGGAAGCAGTACTTGGGTCCCTGATTCCTCCTCCTTTGAGGAATCCTGAATATTCTATGCAGGAAGTTTATTTTCTTTGGCATCTTATGTGGGGTTCAGATATGGCTTGGAGCTTTTTGTTTTTGCCAGATGCTATGCAAGCATTGCGCTACAAAATGAAGTAGCAGCTGTAGAATGATCCCCCTGTTCAATTTGAGCGAAGGGGGTGGCTGGGCTCTGGTCTGAGAGATTCCATGCTTTTCCGTTAGGTCACTTAGAGAGTGTGCCTGAAACAAAAAGGTCTTTTTCTAGTATTGTATATGCTGAATGGCACCTTTCCCCTGGAGATTCTTGATTAGGACTTCTGCTACCCCCTAGGCTATTTATCCTGGTAAAAATTAAGATTTATATGCCCCTGGTGTATTAACTTGGAGGCATATCTCAGAGACGCATGAGTATATTTAATGCATTTGACTGTGTCCCTCTCGCCTTCCTCATGAATAGAAGAGTGTTAACCCTTTGGCCTTTTACATTTCCCACCTCCCCATTGCCTGGAAGGCTTTCCAAGCCTGTAAAGTGGTCATTGTTCCAAGCATAGCTCTCTTGTATAACCCAGCAAGATGAAGCAACCACCAGGCCACTGTATCTCATGCTTTTACAGCTTAATTTCTGACTCTGGTTGGAGGCCCTGTTGCAATTGCAGTGCCCCTTGTGAAATTTGATATGAAAAATGCTTTCTTAAACCAACACTGTGACACTTCTTATAGACTTTCTACCTTTCCTTCTGCCAAAACACATGCTCAGCATTGCCATTCCCCTTGTTCTTGATTTTCTCTCTCTTTAATCCCTATTTGCAGGCAAAGAAGAGAAAAAGAGCAGAACGTTTTGGCATCGTCTGATGATCCTTCCTCTTAGCCTTTACTTGTTTGGGATGTATCTTTTATACATTCTTGTTCTTCGTCCCCTAATGAGGAATATAATTTTCTCCCCCACACAAATCTTGGCTTTGTATTTTAAAATGAGCTCTTCATTTGGGCTTTCCCCTCACCCCTCCCTGGCAGACTTGTAAAAGAAACAAATTTCAGAGCCTAGAATAAAAGTGTTCTGTTTGTGTATGTAACAATTTGAATTCTCTGGCAAATTCTCTCGTTAGCCACTTGTAACCAAACTATGCCTCCAACTTGCTTCCTCTCTGTACAGATGAAAGCAGCTGCACAAAATAAAGGGATTTGCAAAATACCAGGAATATTAATATTTTTGTCACATTATTGAACTCCAGTTGAAGTAGTACGGAAACCCAGAGCTGTCTGAACCTTCCCTGTAATTTTACAAAGCTGTTCATTGTCTCTTTATTTCAATTCTCACATTGCCCATGGCTCAGAAATAGTCTTCCTCTTCTATGTCTACTGTTTAGTAAAATAACTCAAAAAGTTCATCTGTCTCACCTGACTGACCCCAATCTGAAACTGTTTTTATACTTAAAAGTATTTATCTCCTTGGGTTCTGCTAAAAGTTCTCTAACATTAGGTCTTAGGAAGTCATATGATGTCAGCCTTTCATCTATATGGGTTATATATTATTGTCAGCTGAAGCATTAGTCCTTTTTTTAATGCCTTGTGCAGCTATTATGTATTCTAAATGATGTTTTTAACCCATATAATGGGATGAATTGTATCAGACTGTGACTGGCTGCAGTATAGAGCATCCCAGGATGCAGAAAGTGAAAAACTTTACCATGAGTTTCTGAAAGTTCATTTACTGCAAATGCTGATAATTTCCTTCTCTGAAAGTAGCATCAAAAAGCTCTAAGATTATAGCTGTGGAAAGAATTGTTGTAAAATGTAATGTTCAAGTTCAGTGTTTTTACACTACTTTCATTTCCCAGGTGGATTTTCAAATTGCACTGTTTTTTGTTTCTCTTTTGAGTCAAATGCTTCTAGTTGCAATTTAATAAAGATAACAAATTGGAGAAAGCCTCTATCCTATCACATTGTTGCATCTCATTTTCTTCCAAATAACTTATTCATGCTTGTTTCAGAAGTGCAGGGCTATCTCACCAAAAATATACCTCTGTCCAAGTGATTCCATCTTTATTCCTCTTTTATTTCATATAGCCAAAACCCCTTTTTACAGGTATATTTTATATAGGGAAGAAGTTACTAGACTTTTTCTATGTACTAAAGGTATCCTTTCCTGTTTGTGTCTGGATTTATATACTGTTATTCGGTTGGCTTTTGGAATGAATGTTGTTCCATTTGTGCTCCAAGTATGTGTGTTTGGGGGGGGGTGTTTTATCCTAATTTTTCATTCAAAGGTGAATGGCTTTTTTTTGTATCCAACACACAACTCCTTTCTTTTGTGTATAATACAGATTAAAGAATGCATTTAAAAGCCATTAGCTGACTCTTGTTGATTTTATACTGAATTCATTAAATGTTGTGTGTTTTATTTGTGCTTTTCCAGTGTGCTTGTGCTTTCATTATTCATGCCATCTCCGAGCAATTTTCTAATGATCTGGTCCTGAGGTCGTATAGTATCAGTTCAACACCCTAATTTCTCAATATTGTGGTTTATTTTATATGTTTAATTTTGTAATATGTGTTTTCTACTCATAAACCTTTGGCAGTTTGATTACTTGGTTGAAATGTTTTGTAGCTTATGATGAAACCAGAACTGCATTGCATTCCTGGTTTCATAATAAAACAGCTTCTTTACGGCAATACTTGTATCTTGCTCTTTGAGGGATCGGAGCATAACTGAATGTACCTTTTGTGTTTACATCTACTGGCATGCAAGTTTACAAAACTGCAGCTAAGGGAACATGTAATGGTCTTGCTTAATTAGTTCTCAGTGTGGAGTTTTAACTGTAGAAAATGTATAATTCTGATTATTCGTTTTCAATACCACACTGAGTTTCAGTTAATCATAGGATTTCTCTCATATATTCTGGTTATTTCTGTTTATCCAACTTGCACGAAATGAAAGAAGAGAGAAGGGGTGCACAAGTTCTCCTCTTCTGAAAGCACTACTATAGCACCCAAGGTAACATCATTTGGGTTTTTTTCTAAAATATGTATACATATCGCTAAGAAATTATATGTTTAAGTTTATGAAACAGCTTGTAGTTATTAGCCATAATAAATTTTGTTGATGTTTAGGGTGCCACAAGATTCTTAGGTTTTGCTGCAAGAAAGTAACATGGCTACCCATCTGGAAATAGTTACTAGTTAAGTTCCTAAAGAAAGGTGCAGATAATATTTATATAATTGTACAGTCTTATCTAGCAAAGCTTAATTGTTGTGGTTGGGACGGATCTTGTCCTTGCTATATAGTTTGCAGAGAAATAAATCTCAAAGAGGCATTTATCTTTGTGCATCCACCTTCACATTTATTCTTAGCTCAACAAAAACAAAACTAGGGCCCGGAGTGATCACATCTTATTTTTTCTTTTTCACATTAATTCATTCAAATAATTACTCCCTCCTAGTTCTGTACTCAATTGCTAATTCCCACTCCACACAAGGGTGCTGTAAGGAGGGGTGCTATTGACTCTTAGCTATTCATTAACCACTCTGGTGGTAGAGTATAAAAGGACAGTTACGGCATTAATCTACATTAATTAATTTTGGGTGTGCACTCCTAATAATTTGTCTAAGGGACATACACCAGTTTTGAGGCAAAGAAGGCAATGGCTCCGATTCTCACACTGAATTGGCTTTGGTGCGCAGTCTTCATATTGTCTGCTTTGTATTGTCTGCTTTTAATACAGAAGTATTAAAATGCCTGTAAATCATGGCAGCAGCTGCTAGAAAACAAACATCCTGTTTTGGTCAGGTATCGCCAAATGGAAAGCTAGTTGCCTACATGAACTCAAATGCTTGTGTAGATAGAATCCAAGAAATATTCAGCCTAGAGCAAATTCTGTTAACTGCTACGATCTTGCCACACATTTAAGGATAGTGTTGCTATTGTAACAGTTCATTATTCCGTAAGTTTCATTCTTGTTCATTAAAAACAAATAGGAAAGCTAAGTCCTGGGAATTAAATGCAGGCCTCTCTGTCCAGCCCTTGGGACTCTCTGCAATCTGCACCCTATTTTCCAATGCGACACCCATCAGTGGCCCTGATGCATACCCTCTTCAACTGTTCTTGCCTGGCTGGAAGTTATTCTTGAACTGACTATGCACCCTTACCTGTCTGAATAGATGGGGGTGTAGAAACCTCTGACTTTTGCATGGCTGGAATGTAGTCTACTGTACAAAGGGAAGAGTTGTGTCCCTTGCTGTACCCATCTTATTTGCCCCTGGCTCTGTCCATAAATAGTGTGCTGCCTCGAGAAGGTTGCTCAGGAGGGATTGTGGCCCTTGGGCTGCGAAAGCTTCTCCACTCTGCTGATTTAAAGAGTTTTTGTCCCACTCTCCAGCCAAAAATAGCTCCCAGACCAGTTTATGAATATCAGTATTAAGACAGTCCCAGGGCTGATGCTTACAATCTGAAAGAATGTAAAAGGAAAATTGGGAGAGAGAAGGAAAAAAGCAAACTCATGCACTAGTTCTTTAGTTACACAGTTCTTGTAACAACCAGCTGGAACAGAAAACAGTACAAGGAGATGATGAGCCAAAAATTACTTATCTCTCAGCTGGGCCAGTTTAATGGCTCTGCTTCCCACCTCTTCCTCTGTCTACTCTGTTCCATCTTTGGACGGAATTGCTTTTGTCAGGTGGCAGTTGATGGAGGGAAGAACCTAATAGCTGCTTCTAATCCAGTGGTGAGGATTATTATTGGCCTACAACTCCCATGATCCCTAGCGAGCAGGACCAGTGGTCCGGGATGATGGGAATTGTAGTCTCAAAACAGCTGGAGGGCCGACTTTGAGGAAGCCTGTGCTAACATATGTTAATTCTGCTGTAACTGCTGCTTCTAAATCAGGGAAGCAATTTTACTGTTTCTCCATTACAGGACATAGATGAATGAATATGCAAGCATCTTTTTCTATCCCTTTATTATACTGAACCAAAGGCCCATTGGTGGCAGTTGTTTTCTTTAATTGAGAACGAAATGGGAGGTATTCAGCTAAGTTTTACTCAGAGTAGAGCAATAGTAAAAAGGTAAAGGGACCCCTGACCATTAGGTCCAGTCATGACCGACTCTGGGGCTGCGGTGCTCATCTCGCTTTATTGGCCGAGGGAGCTGGAGTACAGCTTCCGGGTCATGTGGCCAGCATGACTAAGCCGCTTCTGGCAAACCAGAGCAGCGCACAGAAATGCCGTTTACCTTCCCGCCGGAGCGGTACCTATTTATCTACTTGCACTTTGACGTGCTTTCGAACTGCTAGGTTGGCAGGAGCAGGGACCGAGCAATGGGAGCTCACCCCATCGCAGGGATTCGATCCGCCGACCTTCTGATCGGCAAGTCCTAGGCTCTGTGGTTTAACCCACAGCACCACCCGCGTCCCAATAGTCATGTTCATTAATTTCAAAGTTAGGTCCATTAATTTCAGTGGATCTACTCTGAGTAAAATTTAGTTGAAACAGAACAGCTGCAGTCCAGGTTAACTATTGGAAATAAAAGATAAATGTAAATATACACAGAAAGCATGACTAGCTGATTTAAAGGATGGTTTGATATCTTATTATAGGTCCATCTACACTTTGCCCATGCCCCCCATTTCAGTGCTTTAAATAAAAATACTTTTTTGGAATATGTTGCTTATCAGTCATATCTACTGTCCTATAATAATGGTATAGTCATAACTCCTGTTCCCCGCCTCCTTTACTTACCTAGCCACCTTCTGTACCCTTCAAGGGTAACTGTCCCTCCGTATTTATTCTCCCTGCCTTGTGCCCCACTCCTGCATTGGGAGAAGGGTTTTATTAGAGAGGACACTATCTTTTCGAGGGTGTGCATTGCCCCTTCTTCAGCAAAGGGGTGGGTGGGGGTGAAATCATTCTAATCAAACTGTGTTTAAAACACTACCTAATTTATTTTTCCTCTCTAAGCTGGGGGCTGCTCGTGACTAATTTGAGCTGAATAGGCAGATAGAAAAAGCATCAGGCATACAATGAGCGGCAGAAAGTGTGGGAAAACTAGCGAAAGAAAGGGATGGCCGAGCCTTGCAGCGTGAGAGCTAAGGAAGGCCGTGTAGCACCCAAATTCAGCATGAAGTCACTTTTCAACAGTAGACGCTTGGGCTCTAAATGCTAGTAGGACTATAGGTCAGGGAGGGGGGAAATGGAAATTTGTGTTAAGTTTGCACAATGTAAACGGGAGAAGGGATCTTGTGTGTGCGTGCGTGCGTGCATCCCTTCACAAAGAAATACAAACACATGTTCTTCCCAATTGCAATGTCCTCTTCTCCCCAGTGGCCTCTTGCCCCTGAGCCCTCTGTGGGTGGGTTTGAAAATCTTTCTCCTGTTTAAATTCAGGAAAATAAGAAAACAAAGGGAGAGGGGGAGCCTGGAAGTGTGTGCCAGTGAGGAGTTAATAAAGAGAAATGTGTCGTCCTCCCTGCCCCCAGTCCCACTGCTCTTTTAAATATTTATAGAGACACAGCGAAATTTTATTTCTAGAGGCGGGGAAATCAAGTGACCTCTCACCTGAAGCTCTGACCTCTTGAAACTCAGATTATTTCCCCTCTGCCAGGGGAGGAGTTAGAGAGGATTGGTCAGTTTCATGCCAGCTGTGAGATGAACTGCTTCCTTTTGCTCAGAGTTGTCATTTCTCTTTAATGTCAGCCACTGTCCACATTGCCTCTACTGATCCCAAGCAGCAGAATGGTTGCTTTAGTTTAAAATGGTCTGGTTATTTCCACATCAAATTTCTCCTAGGAATAGGCACTAGTCTTGTTAATTACACCATGCTCGCATCTTTACCGATGCATTTAACAAATTGGGGTAAATAGTATAAGTACTCTATAGAAGCAATGTCATTTCGTTTTACTAAACCTGGCAGTATATCATTTAATGTGTCTAGAAGATGCATTATGCGATCTATCTGTGATAGAAAGGCCTTTGGTTTTGGGTAGTTGACAAATATTAATATCAAATCCCATCCTTTTCCCTGGACCAAGGTTTGCCAGGCAACTGAGTTACCCTGTAATATGTCACAATCAATGTTATGGATCATATCTTCTCTAATATCTGTACTTCCAGATGTTTTCCTTCCAGGGTTCAGGGGTGTTCCTTCTATTGCTTCATTTGTTTTGATACCCCGCTCCTGGATTTATTCCTCAGATAGTAACTGGATCTCTGTTGTGTTTGGTCCCTGCTTCGGGATTTCTTCCTCAGATATTAACTGGATCTCTGTTGTGTTTGGTCCCACTTTGCTTTCCTCTTTGTTTGTGGGGCAAGTTTGTTTGGGCCGGTTGTGGATGTTGTTGGAATCAATTTATACAGTTTCTGCCACTGTTTTTTTCTAACACAATGGTGGGGTAAATACTGTTTTTGTATTAACAAG